CGGGTATGTACATTTCTGAATACATACAATACGTTTTTTTTATTAAGGTCACAATAATGGTCTTTTCGGGTATTGTCACATTTGGTGCAGATAGTTAACAATATTTTACTATTCAGTCACGGAAGCCCTGTAGGCTATACAGCTTATTAAATATCATCTATTTGAATCTGTATTAAAAAGTGGAGTTGCTATTTAAAAATCCAAAGTGCATACTCATTTCTAGTGTTTAAAGCCTAAAATATTTTACTATCTAGTGAAATATGTCACCATTTTGTGAAATATTGGATTTTTATTAATTATTTCACTATTTGGCCCTAATTCATTACAAATAAAAGCTTTCCCCACCAATTTAGGTGATAACTAGGAAAAAACAGTATTATTATTTTTCAATGTGCAAACATTTATCTATTCTGTGGTACAATTACTATGCACATTAAAGTGATTTTATTCATAAGTACACTATTGTAAAATGGGCTAACTTAATACTGAAATACATAAGGTGTATCAAAATCCAGAAAAAAAAGCTAATAATAAAACCATTGTAAAAAAAGTATGTAATTATTATAATTGTACTACTGTGAAAAATGCCACTTGATAAAAAACACAGGTACAGGTACATTCTTAATTCGCATACATTTTCCCCTTTTTTTAGTAGTTCATTAATCATTAATCATATTAATACACTTGCCAGTAAAACAGTATTTTTTAATGTTAGGATTTTCAAAAAAACCACATACCTATAATTATTAAATGAATTAATTTAATTTTCTCTTGTTATTTTGTTATTATTATTAATATTGACAATATTGTATATTTGTATTGACATTTTTACTTTAATATATGTTTTTATATATTAATTTAATTCACATATTTGTATTATATATGTATAATTATATAAATTAACATTACCAATTGGTAATTACCACGATTTTATCATCAAAATAAACTGTGATCTTCATAACAATTAACATATATGTTGGCATTTACTAATTATCATAATATTTTAGCAAATGATATAATATTTTAGTTAAATGCTTCAAATTCGAAAGTAGTGCACCATTTCATAAACGCTAATTTTTATTAAAAGAAAAGACAAGTATATTTTTTACTAGAACATGATTTAAATATTATGTTTACTTTTTAAAAAAAGTATACAAAACATTTTTTAGTTCCCCATACGGGGCATTTTGACTCGTCTTAATTACCCTAGTTACCCCTCCCTGACGTTAGGTTATGTATTTCCAATATAAAATTAAATATTTCGTTACAAAATCTACCAATTAAATTATTTATTATTTATTTTCTAGTGGACACGCAGTAGAATAGAAAAATTTTACTCTACAGCGTGTCCAATGGACTTTACCAATATATAATACATAATACATAATATACTATTCTACGATTCTTAAGGGGTTTTTTTTTTTTTTTTGTATTTTTCGTGATGTCTTCAAATAACAGAAGGCTAAACTATATGACGTGAGTATCTACCAAATACTATAAATAAATACTAACAAAAGAGTACGTGCCCAGCTTAACGTAGCCTATAGACCTTTAATAATATAAATATATTTGTACGTTCAAAGTTGCATACTAAATATTATAAAACCATGATGAACGCGAGAAAATTATCATTTAATTTCGTTATTTTAATACGTATATACCTTGTTATAATTCTTTCGTTTAGAGAATACTCAACAAATTGATTTGTTCTTCTCAAACCCCGTGCAGTAGGTCCAAACTTCATCGTTGTTTCAAGCGTTTAAAAGTACATAATATTTTGAACAAGAAGAAAATTCAATTTTTTGTGACGATTCACTAAATGTTTTTTTACTACATTTTACACTATATTTTTTATTGATTTCTGGGTTATTATGCTATATTTAATTTGGTTGTCACGCGCAACGAAAACCCCTCGTAGAGACAAATATACAAACGTATTGATAGGCGAATAATTAGATTCGTATTGAAAGGATAAGTAATATTTCAGCTTTTAAAAATGGTCCATAATCACGTGTGTTATTTAATTAGTCACGGGCAACAATGTGTAGTATTATATTATAATTTAATTTAATAAAAAGATGAAAAAAAAAGAAACACATTTACCAAAGTGTGTATACGACGAGATAATATTTTAATTTTACTTAGTATCAAAATATTACAATATGGTAAATTCAGTGCCATAACCGTTTCGACAAGAAAATTTGTTAATCGTGGTTTTCCTTATGTTTTACCAAAGATAAAGTTATTAAACTATTTTTGTTTTTTTTTACCGTGTAAGGTACTCACTATTCTAGTCTACGATACTGCTCGGCCCACTTTCCAGTGATAAATTCAGGGGGGTATAGGGGCACGTGCCCCCCTGTCAATGGAATACAGTTTTTATTTATATATTTTATTAATTCAATATATAATTTATAGTTAATTTACTGAAATTATAAATAATATGCCCCCCCCTTTTCAAAACATTTTTGAATCCGCTGATGTCACTCTCAATATACATAGTAATTATAGAGGGTGGTAAGAGGATTTCTCGATAATAAGAAGTACAGTACGTGCATTGAACTTACATTTCGATAAAATATTATTAGTATTCTGAAATTTAAAATCTGTGCATACTATCCCTGTTCTTTCCCCGGACAATTCATTTTTTGTCATCATTACACAAGTGTAACAAATAACTTATAATACCTACTTTATTATATTATATTGCAGACCCTAACAGCTATGACGCATAACATTGAAAAACATCTGGCAAATATCTTTTTTCTGCAAAAAAAAATGGTTAGTATGACTGTCCAGTTTGTTTTGTACAAATACCACAGTCCGCTTTAGGATTCTTAGGTAAGCTACTGATATATCCTTTGTTAACAATTTTGTGTAATTATTTATTTAATTAGTTTTGTCAGATTAAAGCCAAAATACGATTGTTTTTGCTTTTATTGATTTGTCTATTATTATGTTTTGTTACATTATTTTTTCTTGTAAACTGAACTATTCTTTCTTTTTTTTTTTTTTGTTATTAATAATAATGTGATAATTAATATTCTATTTCACATTAATGTAAGTTATATTTTGTCGATCCGTCCCCGGTCGTGACACAATTTACTTGACAAAATATAATAAACTGTTAATGAACGAAACAGTTATTATAGATTAATAGTTAAATAGTATAGTTCAAAAGTAATATGCTTTTCAACTAATATAATATTCTAATAAAATTGGAATGTGGATATATGTTGAAATTTTCCAATAGTGAAGTTTAATAAATACTAATGATAAATCACTGATGACAGAATACGATTCTGAGCGAAGTTTGGTTACACATAATGTTACATTATGTTTTGAAATGTCGTAATATTTCCGATTTTAGTCAAAATTTGAACTTTTTTTTTTGAACACTAAGTACAACTTATAATGAACCTCCATTAAATTTTCAAGCATTTTATTTAGTCAAACGATTTTATCCATATAGTACCTATGAAATTAACATTAAATATCAATAAATAGACGATATTAAATGTCTACAAATAGCTCAAAAAATATTTTGAAAATTTAATCACGTCTAGAAAAGTATAATATAAATATTCCATGAGCATTTTAAGTTGCTACGAATATTTTTAGCCGAATAGCAACAAAACATACGCCGTAAATTTGTCGGGTTTCATTTTACGCCCTTTTCCGATTTTTCACAATATTATGAATCCTATCAGAAAAATTAAAACACGACTTTATTACTCATCAACTAGGCCTAAAACGCAACACAAAAGGTTATTTCACACATCATATAGGAAAACCTATTACATTATTCATACGCTCAGAATCTAAAAATAAAAAACTATTAGTTTCGCCGAAAGTATAATTAAATTGTCGTCGAATTGCCGACTCATTAGTCTAAGTCTAAATGTCCAAGTTTTACTCCTCCCTATCACCGGAACCGAATGGAAATTATGAACATATAAATGGACATAAATACCAATAAATTGTAATCGGATCTCACGTCGTTTTCACACTTTTGCGTCTTCCTTTTGATTTTTTTTATTCCGATTCAAATGCCGAGTTAAACCGCCGCGCCTCAGACTTTAAAATTCTTGATTATAACCAGAGATATATTTCAAGTTTTTTTGAAAACCTAACTTATCCTTTATTAAAAAAAAAAAACAAAACTAAAAGTACTTAAGTACTCATAAAAAAAATATCCGAAATATTTAAATGAGAATCTTTACTTTATATCTTCATAAGACTTTTTTTTTTCCAATTCTGCATTGAGTTTATCCAAAATGACGAAATAGATGTTCACTTTTAATGATTTTTTACTATCAAAATGTATTTCTTCTCCAGGACTTTCGTCATATTGTAACTTCCTTTTTTTTCTTCGTATATTAGTCAAATAAGTAAAGCCCGACTTCTCTATAGCTAAATTTTCATTATATATATATCAAACACATCATGTCTTATTTCCTTAACATGCTGGTGTAATCAATTGTACCGACAAATTACAGATTCAACATCAATTTCTACTGTTCGAAGTTTTTTATTTGTAGCGTTAAAGCGTCCCAAGAATTTGTTCCGAAATTGATCTATTGTACGGTATAAAAAAAAATGTCAAATTAATTTTTTTTTAATCACTAAATTACTGAACATTTTACCGCCCTTTGAAATTTGCCGCCCAGGGCTACGTCCCTGCTATAACCATACACTAATCACTACAATCGTCATTATACATTAATAACACTATCGGACAGACTGCAGGGCCCGTCTCTATACCGTCGCTATAACAATAACGTGTACACCCCGTGTATCGTAATACAGTGTCGGTGGAATACACGTCCGTCGATAGGTATACACGCACACTCGCGGACTCGGCGGCGCACACGCGCGGAAACTTTCGTCACGCCGCCGTCGCTCGAAGCGCTAGAGGCGCGCGGCTCTGCTTCAGGTCGATGGTGTCGCAGGCTTTGTCCTTCGTCACGGCGACCAGTGTTCATGTCTCCTCCCTCGCGGGAAGGGGTCGCTCGAGCTCTCTGAACTTTCGTGCGCGCCACACCGTACACGTACCATGGCGATATAATTTCGCGTTTCTTTTTCTGTTTTTCGTTTTTGTTCCGCCGCCCGTCACTATCTCTCTCTCTCTCTCTCTCTCTCTATCTGCGTTCTCCCGCGCGGAGTCTCGACAGGGACGGCGCTCGCGAAACACACCCAACGGTTATCATTTACATCATTCGCGCCGCCGTCGTCTTAATACGCATCGCGTATAATAATAATATTATTATTGTTGCGCAACACCGTGGCGGCGCAACGTACGAATATTGGGTAACCGTCGGCGGCAGGGAGACGCATGTGCCTGTGCGCATACCTGCGGAATCATCATCGTCGCGGTTGTAGACGGCTCGGCTCGGGTAAGACTTGCGAAACTGATATTATAAAAGACGTATAGAAACCGTCGCCGCGCGCGGAAATATAATATTATTATTACTATTAGTGTTATTATTATTGTATTTTCAGAACGCGCGCGTCCGAAAAAAAACGGACGGAAACCCGTTTGTGCAAACAATATATCACGGTGTTTTATGCGCAGCGACATAATATATATATATATATATATATATACGAATATACGAGTATATAAAATTCGCGATAGGTTTACGCATTTTTTTTTTTAGGCGTTCCCCCCCTCCCTCCCCCCGGAGACCGGGATATTGTTTTACGCAATGGAGTAGTCGGGATTTCGAAATGTGAGGGGGAGGGGCTAAATAAGTTTTTGTTCGACGCATACGCGTATAGGATACGGGGAATTCAGAAAGTGTTTTCATCAATATGCGTTTGTGTTACTTTCAATAGAAATCGGTTTAAAGGGCTTAATAACGAAATAAGAATATTACTATTATTATAACTACATGTATAGTTAGTACTTACTCTGTACTGCCCATAGTGGCGTATTTAGGATTGTGTCAGGGAAGTATAGATATTAAATTTGGACATTGTGCCATATTGTAAAACGTACACATAGACTAAAACATAAATCTATCGATTATTAATTTATATATTTTTGTTAATACCTATTATTTCAAATTCAAATTTTATTATCATCACTGACTATGCATTAGGTATATGAGTAATCATTATTAATTTATGTAATATTTAGTTGTGTACTAACGTATAACTATTATAATATAGTGGTTTGGATATAGGTTGTTTACTATAGTAAACAACACATTGTTGATTTGTCTGAGTAACTCGTAAAAGTAACGAAATTTTAATTTAAATATGGGTAATCATACAAATATAGATGATAATTAAGGATTTAGGGGGGATATATCTAACTTTTCTTCCCCTTTAATTATGCCACTGCTGTCATCATCTCTTAGTGGAATTCTTCTTGGAGAATTTTGAGCTATAGCAGTATTTATATATAATTTTCATTTATATCTTCTTTTTTATTTATATTAGCTATGACTAACCCATTGTATTAATTTTCTGATATTGCTTCTCTAAATAAATTTTTATGAGTTTCATTGTAGAAAACGTTCTTTCAAGGGTATTGAAAAAATACCTATTTGAAAATATAATTGATAGCAAAATTGTAAAATAGTAAACACACGATGAAGACACGATGTATAGGAGAGGACCCAAGTTAGTTTCCTCTTGCCTACGCCACTGACTTTATAATTATTATTTTAATTCCCCTGATCCTGGCAACATCTAATAGAGAATATTTTTATTAAATTGTTGTTGTGCTGATTTCAATAACAATGTAATCAAATTTACTGTTTATGAACTATAATAGTTACAAATTTAGACCGGGGATATAGGGAAGGATAACAAACTTCATGTTCATTTTTAGATGATAAATTTATAAATGATAACCTTTCCGTAAACCCTAGGTTCAAATTTTAAAAAGTGAGAATTCATTAGCGGTAAATCTGATACAAGTGTTATACATAGCAAAATTATGTTTGTGTCAAATTACTATTTGAGATTAGATAACCCTGTATATATAATGGATTCCGATTTAATCACTTGGATTCAAAAACCTTTGAAACATATTCGGTTTAAGTAAAATATTATACACTTCAATTTTTTGAGAATATAGAATGGAAATTCTTAGTTTTCCATATCTATATTCTATATATCTATATATTTCATGAGCCTTTTTGTAATCTTAATATCATTGTTAAGACTGTTAAGAGTTATACATTTGTTTTCAAATAGAATATACGATATTCCCATGATAATTATTTATTTAGGTAAGTATATTATCTAAATCGTAATTTTAGTTTTCGGTTATAATTTATTTAGGTATACGTATTGGCTGGGAAATGAAATAATAATATGATTCAAATTATAATAAATAAGAAATAAAAGCTGATAACTGCTGATGAATGTGTCACTGTTGTAAATGGGGAGTTAAGGAAGGAAGATACTTACATTTAATCATTTATATTTATACGCAATGATAAATCATTTCTGAAATACAATTTTGAGCGAAGTTCGATTAAATATGTTATGAACTTTCGTCAAAATTTGAACTTAAAATTCTAAACTTGAAATATCAAGCATTTTTTATCAGCCAAAACATTTTGTCTACTTAAAACAATATTATAAATTTTAAAAAAAAATTCGAAAATGTCAAATGCTTGTAAATAGCTAAAAAATGACCGGAACATTTTTTAAAAAATAACCACGTCTATAAAGTGCTAATATAGGTATTCTATACAAATATCAGGTATTACGATTATTTTTAATTGATTCACAATAAAAAAAAAAATGTTTAATTATGAAATCGTTGTTGCTATAAATGTATTCGTTTTTCTATTATATGTTTTTTCAACTATTATGTTAACTGCAAGGAAAATCAAAAAATGACCCTACCCATGCACCAACCTAGATTCAAAATGCTACATAAAAGTTCTCTTGTCATATTTTGATTTGAGCAAGATTTCTGGCAGAAAAGTTGATAACAGACAGAATTATTTAATATATTATATATATATAACTAAAGGTTGTATCTGACCTATAATGATTGAATTAGGGGAGGGGTAGCACAAGACATTAGATTTATCTATTTATGCACATAATTGTGTTAAAGATTTCTAAAAACTAAGGTTTTAGAGATAAAACAACGATTGTACATTTTATAGATTTAGTGTATTTCGAAAACAACCTCATTGATGTTTTACAATTCTCAAAATAAATTATTTTTATTTTTACAGTTACATTTAATTAGTTAATAATGAAGTTGTCTTCGAACATTTTTATAATATGCACTACATTTATCTCTAATATCTAAAACCGAATTTAAAGTAATTTTGTTTTGTTTTTCGTAAACAAATGTTGGCTGCATATAGTGTTAGAAAGTCAAAGTTAGCAGAATTGATTCTGAGTACAAAACACTTATTTGGTTATGCTTCAATTTAATTATGCCTTGATAAATGCGTACTTTTTACCCGATCGTAATTTATTTGAAACACGTTTCGAAACTCTCAATAGATTTCCAAAAATAATTATCTAGATTCCCCTTACAGTTTTTCTAAAAAAATTATAAAATTAACAACAACAATATTAACGATAATACTATTATTTTAAGAGTTTATAGATTCTACGTTCAGAATCATTTTTTTGATTGTAAAGATGTATCAATGCTTTCAGTATGTAAACAATAAATCACTCTATATCTTACACCTTCTAATCTTTCCAAGAACAACAGTGGCTCGCCCATGGTACGTAATATGTCAGTTTTTATTAATATTCATTTTTTTAATTATTATTTTTTATTTATTAATTTATTATAGTTGGTCGTAGTTCAAACCGCTGTAATCGGAATAAGCGTAGGTGACGACGCGCGTGAGAGCTTACTAGTGACATTGGACAAATATAAATTTCGACCACAAATTAAAAAAAAGTTGATACTTCTAATGGGTGTGCTACTTTTATAGGTGTGTTGTTGGTAAGGTTAAGTAACCTTTTTACCACTAAGTACAACTTATAATGAACCTCGGTTAAAGTTTCAAGAATTTCTGTTTAATCAAACAATTTGATTAGTATGTACATACCAAAGAAAAAATCAAAATCTCGAACATGTAAAATGACAATAAATATCTCAAAAATTGCCAGAAATATTTGCCACGTATAAAAAAAGTTAATATTTACCGAAAATCTCAACGCTCTACGATGGTATTTTTAACCGAATTACAGCAAAAAACCAAAACCTAAAATCCAAAATACAACAAAAAAAGCCTCTTGTCATTTTTCGATTAGAACAAGACTTCTAACGTAAGGCATACAAATTTAAAATAATGAATCCGATAACGACGGTAATACGCCATAAATACGTGTCCGTTTTTTCTGTATGTTTTTTTTCGAATTTCCATAATAATTATTACAGAAAGCTCTTGGAAAATCAAAAATGACTTCAATTTAATGCATTAATTAGAGAGCCAAACTGCAACAATTTTTTGATAAGAGCGAAATTTCTGGTAGAATTTGTTGTCTTCAAAAAAAAAAAAAAGAAGAAACACATCATAGTGTAACCATTATGCATTCGCTCGGGATAGAATCCAAAACGAAAATTCTGAAGAAAAAAAAAACTTGTAGGTAAATTTTTCAGTATTTTTTTTTATGTACCTAGTAAGCGTTTTACGAAAGATCGATCACACCCTGTATATTATACAATAATGTGTGTACTTGTACACTGTCCTCTGTGCTCGCGGATTTGAAATATGGTCATCGCTGACGGGCGATGTCGTACATTATAATAATAATTATAATATTATTATTATTATTATTATTTATGTATACCTACGCATGTTTATTTTGTTATTCTCGTTCGAGTCTGTCGGGTCGCCCGACTTGACCCGCGCTCGCCCAGCGGGTTGTGTGACAGTCCGTCGTCCGGCGACGTCGTTGTCGATAATTTTTATATCGGGCGCGACGACGGAGGATAGAAAAAAAAACATTATTTATAAAAATGCAGAACGAATCGTTACGGAGATTCGAAGCAAAAACGAAACGACGACGCGCGCGTTGCGTAACCTTTGGGTTCAATACCGTAGTCGCTGTCGTCGGTTTTTTTTTTAAATTTTTTTTTTTTTTTTATTTGCTACGCGTTTCCCTTCGGCGGATTCGTCTCAATCGAACGCCGCAAATTCGGCTATCTCGGCCATCGGGAATCGTGCGCGCGCGATCGGAACACCCGCAATAAACGGCCGGTGTCCAATCAACACGTTTCCGCCCAGTCATCGTATTGTTTACCGTGCCGGTACATTCATATTGGATTTTACACCGCGCGCGACAATATTGCTATCATTATCATTATTATTATTATTATTATCATTATTATTATTATTACTATTATCATTATGCCTTGTTATAATGATAATAATATTTTAATAATATTATTAATTTGGTCGCCGGCGTGCCGCGTGTGTTATTGTTCCGTGCGCGCCTATATAAAGCATTATCGTTATATTATACCGATCGTTTTTCAAGGATGTGGTGGCCCCGCGCGAAATGTGGGACGCGCGGTCGTGTCCGACAAACTCGTACACCCGGTAGGTATACTCGCTGAACTTGCGGATCCGGTCTGAAATGGCCAATCTCGCTTTTCGGCCGAATCGAATTATATTGAAAAGACACTAATAAATATTATATTTATACACAATTATTTTGATACGCTTTTTCTCGCGCTAAAAGGGCGTAACTTGAGCGCCAAAGGACATATAGCTCGAGTTACAATAATGACCATTTATTGTTGCAAACATATTATAGAATCGGTTTGATTTTCAAAACGGTCAATCTGACTTCAATGGAATAATTGACGTCTATAAAGAAACCATGGCTACATCATAATAACAAAACATTAATTTCATATTTGTCTAGGTTAATAACCGTAAATGCTATACGTCGATTTTTCTTATAGTTAGAAATTTGCTCAAATCTCCCTCCCGAGTAGATAATTTGAACCAAAGTACCGAGAGATATTAGTATGCAACCGTTTGAAATGTTTTTAGCTGTTCATACTTGCATAATATACAATAGAATATTGTTATTAATTTATTTTTTTATTTATAGAATAAAACGTTTTATACATTTTTTCCGTAATTTATACGTTCGTAATATTATATAATACTAGCTGTCCCGCCCAACGTTGTTCGTGCCAATTTAATCCCTTTGTTGTTGACTATTTAAAAGCAGAGTTTTCAAAAACCGAAATCAATAAAAGAAATCCGATTTATCTACGTGTCACCGTCTTTATTTCATCGGTTTTCGTTGAAAAACATGATTGCAATACGCTTTTCTTTTCTATTACGATTGGACATCCGTGTCACCGATGTAACCCAGAAATAATAATAAAAAAAAAAAACAATTTTTGTCAGACCCAGAAATAAGGAATCTGTTGTTGAAATCTCTTTGTATGGGCGATAAATTCTTAAAAAAAAAAAAATATGTAAAAAAATCAAAACCATAAATTTCATTCGTCGCGGTTATAATATTATATTACATCGTAACAGGGTAAACGAGTTATCATTATCTCTCTAGTTCAATAGATTTTAAAAAAAATAAAACGTTTGACCAGAAGTTGCAACGCATGTGAACACATTTTTTTTTTTAAAAAACACTTATGGAATAGACAACTTATTAGCTGTTGAATAACTGTAATATTTTATTAAACATTAAAATATGTTTTAATATTTGAAGTATTTGTTTTGAAAATCAGCTACAAGCAAGCATTTTTAAAAATAGGTATTTTACGTTTTCTGAAATTTTTACACCGCATTGCACGATGTGGAAAGTCTCTATATGGCTTAAACTGTGTAGGAAAAATATGTTGGTCTCGTACTCACACATTTAATGATTTGTGCCTCAAAATGGTAGGGAAACGTTAGACATTACTGTACTAGTTATGTGGTGAAACATAGGAACATTTTAATATTTATGTTACACTAATTTTAAATCAAAATCACAATTTTTTGGTATATTATAGCTCCATATATCTTTGCTTTCCCATTTTGTTCAACATACTCCTATGTTTTAAAGGGAAAATGTATCTAAAAAAAATAACCAAATTGTTGGGAACAGCTATCGGACGAATTTTGCAATAAAACAAACTATATCAAAATTTATAGAAATCTGTATATATCTTAAAATAATCTTTTTATTAAATAAATCTTCATTACACAATATAAACATACATGTGATGCATTCCAAAGCTATTATTTCACATTAATTACAAAAACCATAGAGTAAAATACTAAAATCTTAACCTATTTTCGTTTTTGTCTTTTCCTCATATTTGTAAATAATTTCAATAATCGTTTATAGCTTACTTGGCAAATAGATGCATCATATTTAGATTCCATGGAATGTGGTTAATCACTAATGAATCGATTTTTTCTAATAGGTTTAAATTACCATCTCCGATGGGTAATTTTATATAAATAAATAACTTGTAAAGTGGTGAGTTCGTAACGTGTATATAAAAAAAAATGATATATTCCCTCTTATAGATATTAGTGTTTTGTTGAAATGAATTGTGTTTTATTTGTTATTTGTTATTTCTCGGACAAAAAACTAATACTAAAATAAAATATTATGTTAAAAGTTATTTTTACCTAACGTAGTAACGCGTATTATTATTGTGTCGCATTTAAATTGTATTAGTACCTATTTTGATTTCATTTCCTTAGAATTTTTTAAACAATTATATATGAATTATTTTAAAAACTTATTATAAATATTATGGCCTTTCGAAACATGTATAACCAAACTCTGCTCAGATTCGTTTTTCATTAGCAATGATTTATCTTTACGCATAGATATATATTAAATCCCCCTCTGGAATGTATATCCTACGTGCCCAACTTTTAATTTATAACAGAGGCCCATTCATCGTGCGAAATATGTCCGTTTTTTTTGGCTATATGTGAATACAAATATCGTAACTTTATTTAATTATAGCGTTTAAGTTCAATTTATGTTGATATTTTTTATAAAACAATCAATTTTAATTTAACCAAACAATGTTTAAACAAACTATGTTCATAATAGTTTTTTGTTTGTTTGATTTATCGTCGGGTGCAGATAAATAAATTCATTATACTCTATAATACCCCAATGCTTTCTTTACTTCCCACTTACAACATTGGCCCACCCATAATGCGAAGTATGTCGGCATTTGTAAAACGGTGTTTTTTTGTAGAGTATTAAGTAAATATTTGCACTCCTGGTACACAAAATTATAAGAAATTTGTAGTGTATAATAATATTAAATTTCATAGTATCTGACTGGCAACCAACGTACACTCGTGTCACCATGGCAATCTAATAATATACACTACAATTTGTAGGGGGTAGACACGATATAATGATCCAGTGCGTTGGGCTTTTGTGTAAAAATATAAAATATTCTCGTTCAAATACATAACACAATCGAATATTATTCGAATATAATCCATTTGAATTCCGGGAAGTACAGATTTAATATGTATAAATTAAACATTGATATATTAAATGGAATAAAACATCATTTATAATATCTTAGGAAAATTATTCGGGTAAGTTGGCAATTTTTTTTTTAAAAAAAACCGTTCTTCCCCTCCAAATTGAATACGTGTAATAATATTATGTTTTACTCATTTACATTATGCACTATTGTTCGTAGATAGTTCTGTAAACATTTAATTTAAACAAAAAACCAATAAAAATTAATAATACGAAATTATGTTTTTTGCGAGGTAAGTGTTTACAACCAGAATAATAGTATAAAAATCCGTTATAATCTTTACCGGTTTTATATTTGTATGAAATAAAAACAAAACCAATCTTCTTCGTATAGTTAAAAAAAAAAAAACTAGTTTATGTCGCAACTAATTTTAAAATATTGATTTTGTATAAACTGACGGCCGTATGTCTGGACGTGTTATTTTTTACTATATTCCAGACAAATTTATATGCAAATAACGTAGAATAAAACTAAAAACGAAAATTATTACTGACGTTAAAGGTTTGATTCTGTATCATTTTATAACAAATTTGTTTTTTATTAGTTGACTACTTTCTACCGAAAATCTTGTTCTAATCAGAAAATGACAAAAGAACTTTTTTTTTTTATTTTTGATCTAGATGGTTCATTTTTTGATTTTTCTTCTAGTTTTCATAATTGGGAAACGCAGAAAATATTATTCTTAATAGTAACTTTAGGCTACATACTATAACTATGGCTTTAACGTGTTGTAATAACTGAAACAATATACCTTAGCAAAACCACCTCTGCTATTACATTAAATAAATTCTAAAATCATTTTTAATAATAATCGACATAATCGATCTACAGTTTTAAAATTGAGAAGTCCCTATTGTTTTGGCCAAGCAAACATGCTTAAAAATTGTATAAAAATTCATCAATATTGAGTTGTTCTTAATGTTCAGAAAAAAAAAACAGTAGTTTGTATAATCTTTAAGTTCAAACTTTAAGGAAAATGTTTAAAACCGTGGCATTTTAAAATATGTTTAACCGCACTTTTGTCTGAATCATACTTCTTTAGCAATGTATCCATTTTTTTCTTGGATTTAACCATAGAAGCTACGCTAATAAAATATTAGAATTACCCATCCTGATTCAAGTTCGTAACTGGATAACAATTGCAAGAGATGTTGATCCGACATTGTTTTCTCAATCATGTTGATGATTTTTTTTTTTGGCGTTTGGCAAAACATTGTTTATTTCTAAATAATCTCGGGCGAGCCCGGACCTTTCCCGGCCCGACTACAAAATAAACATAAAATACATATTTTTTTTTTCTTTTGTATGATACTTAATCATTATACTATCGCTATTTTCAAATTAACTATATTCATTCGGGGTTTCTGGAAAATTCACCGAGTGTTCCGAAATCGGACAAATACTTTCGACACTTTTTATTATAATTGTTTAGCTTTATTTCTTGTCATTACGGAAGAAAATAATTCGTAATTTTTTTTTTTTAAAGAACCTCACAATAATTTGTTTGGAACTGCGCATTTTGTGTCGAAAAATGAGTACTAGAAAAAAAATACAAATACAAACAATAATACCAGTTGGTATATATTATACATTATTACAACATTATAGGTGATGTACCCGTGGAGCGGAAACGAAACCGGGAGTAGTAAAGATCGATTAACAATAGTTGTTGCGTTTGCATAAAAAAATATTACATTCGTTTTGTTTTTACACGCCGCGCCGCCGCAGATACGTTTTAGTAATTTGACCCGCCGCGAACTATTTGCTGTGGAACAACGATAATAAAGGTACACGCTCGATCGATGAAAACATTACAACCGATGTTGTTGCGCTCCGTACACGGTATCGCGTTCGTCTTGCAGTGTGTACCTAATGCTGGGGTTTTTTTTCTGTTTTATGCGTGGTAGGCATAGTATATTTTTTTATTTCATTTTTTATCGTAATGGATTTCGAAAATGTCAAAAAGTGACGTATTTACGACGCAAGACGGTCACAAAAAAAACGCGCGCTCGATGTTGTTGTTTACGCATACCGTAATGTAAGTTTACGCGTTGTTTACATTCTGAGCGTATTGCGCGAAGAATGTATGCGGGTTTCACACTTTTTACCGCGATGTGTACTTTTTTTTTTATTATAATTATTATTTTCGTGTCTGTAAAATTTCACAACAACTTTTCTTTCAAAATAAATCTCACTCCAATCTTCGTCATCACGGGACTTCATTGAGTCATAATGAATTTTGTCTGCTCGATGCGTTAGGCACCTCCATCCCACCCATTCAATGAGAGCATGATTTGATTTTCCTCGTAATTTTCTTAATAATAGAAGAAAAACAATAAAGGTTTCTGTTAATTTCGATTATAAATTATTTGTTGTAATTCGGTAAGAAATGTGAATGCTTTAGTTTCACTGAATACCTACTTATTTAGCGTTTTCAAAACATTCCTGGGTTTTTTTTTATGTTATTTTTAGTTTTTTTCTTTATTTTTTTTTTAGGATTAACCATAATATGTAAAAAATCAAAAAAAAAAATTTATTTTTATTAGCGTATTAAGTTAAAATGTATTTTAAAAGTTTGTTGAAAACGTGAACGTAGTTTATTTTTTTATTACAAATTAATACGGTTTTCAATTTAAATACATCAAAACACGTTTAACGTCTGACCGAACTTAGCTCGCAACTCCATTCGCAACGATCCATCGATACGTACAGATATAAACCTAATTAGCCACATGGCTTATATATTCAACCTGCCAAATTTTTAGATCCTGAGCGCAGCCAGTTTAACTGTCATTTCCATATAATGGTCGTAAAATGTATAAATCGTACGTAATATGTTTGAAAACGAAAATGAAGTCACTCAATTTTTTAATTTTTTTTGGTTAACAAAAATTTTACGTGAAATTACTAACGATTTAAACAGTAATTATATTTACTAAGAAAGTTACAAAAAAAAAAATAACGTTTAATTTAAAATTGCAGAATTATAATAATTATAATTATTTAATTTTGCTCTCATGAACATTTTTAAAAAATGAGTTTACGTTGCGGAAGTCCATATTTTTTACAGGTTAATAGAATTATACCTATATAATATAATAGTTTGGGATCGTAAATTCAATTATAGAGTATGAAAAATGCAAATAAATTCTTATCTAAAGGGTCGGCAGTACTGTCGGTTAGACGATACTACCGCCCGAAGAATAAAGGTATACTAAAAAAACGCACCTATCCGCGAGTTCGGACTGCGAGTTCGGTAAAACCTATATTTTTATATTTTTAACGGTTAGTATACGACAATTATATTAAAATAATCGATTTTAGGTCAAAGTTTGCGTTAATAATACTATTCATAAAAAAATCAATATATTATTAGGTATGTATACATTTTATAATAATTATAGGTTTGCGCGTGTTAGACGTATCTTTAATTTGTAATACTGTGGCGCGTGAGTAAAAAACATCAATATAATCGACCAACGATGCGTCACTACAACCTGCCAAATTCTTCCTTTCACCGATTGTTATTTTTTTCGTATCGTAGATCGACAATAAATGTTATCGTAACGAACTACGGACATTCCGACAGATTATCATTATCATCAGACAGGTATAATGTTTTAATTTTTTTTCACGTGCGGATCGAACACTTGAAATCTATAATTAATAATAATAAAGTACGAGTAGGTACCCGACAACGACCTCATAAGCCGACGATTTTTCATAATAATATTATTGTACTTGGCGTCGGCGTCATTTATGGGATTGCAAATGGATATTTTTTCTAGTCATTCTTTTAGCTTTTTCGGCCCGAAAGTCAGTATTGATTGGTCGCTGACTTTGTTTGAGTCAGGGAGGGAAAAACGTTTAAATACAAATTATGTTTCATATACCTTTCGTTCGTATAACCTGCAGATAATATGTATCTATATAATCCGTGATCAAATTTTCGAGTTTACTTTTTTCGAACGATTTTCACGTTTAAAAAGGAAAACGTAACATTCAAACACCACGAAAATACCACTGTTCAGCATTATCTAGATGAATAATTAATTATCTTTTATCTTATCTAGATAAAAATCAAAATTAATTATCTGATGAATTATTTTAGATGAATAATTGAGTTATCTAACGTAATTCATCTAGATAAATATATATATATATATATATACTTATCCGAGAAATTAAAAAAATTGACCTTGAAAGTTAAAACCCACGTCTCATTAGTAAAGCAACTTTATATAAATAAAGAACAAAATTAAAAACATAAAGTAATAGGTAATAATATTATCCGAGTCGATTATTTGTGTTATTTCTAAATTCTAATAGAAATTGTAGATTGTGGAATCTAGTATAAATTGAGAAAATATTGTAGATTAATTAATAAAATTAAAACAATTTTATCTTTTTTTTAATCCAGATAAATAGTGTTTTATCTTTTATCTTTATCTAGATAATTTAGATTTTAACTATCTTTTATCTCTATCTAGATAAACTATCTAATTATCTTTGATCTGCATCTAGATACATTTTTAGTTATATTTGCGCAACAATAGAAAATACAGACCTATTTTACTGTAAGCATATGCAAATTTGAAATAACTATCGAATAAAAGCCAATCAATTGGAGCGAAGTAAGAACATCTTTTTCTTTGTTTTGGTAAATCAAACCCTTTTCTTCTTCGATCGGCAAATTCGGTAAGTTTGTCCCCGCAACAGTTTACCGTAATTTATTGTCGAAACGACGATACTGCAGGTTCCAGCGTACTACGTTTTTAGTTTTTTAGTAACGCAAAATGTAATAAAAATAATAGTAATATTGATAAAACTTCAATTTGTGTGACGCCGCGCGGTATCCCGCCAAGTTTCACCGATAATTTATAATTTGTGTTTGTGCGCGAGGTATCCCGCTAAGTTTCACCAATAATTTATAATTTGCGTTTTTATTGTCGGTTTAAATTTAATAACAATTTTCATTTTTATGTGAATTCCGTTACTTCGTTATAATAATAATGTTATTTTACAATCACCAACAAAGTATATAATACAGTTAAAACAGTTGTAAAGAACAATCATATTATATTACATAATATTCAATTTATATCTCCTCATTATTATAATAGACGCGGTTATGTTTTTATAACAGGTTCACGATTATTATGATATTACCTACCTATACCTACTTTTCGGATTAATAGTTGAATGCTGTTAATTCATGTTGTTTATACTGTATAGGTATCGTCTTATCAATGTTCCACCATAAAATAACGACGATACCTTATGCATGTTTAATAATATTATGTATACATACTTATGTTATTTATTATAATGTGTACTAACATTAATCAAAATTCAACGTGTTTATGCTCGTTATTCGAACAAAAAATAGTAATAATAATGATCGTCCTAATAACGAATAACGATCAATAATAATAAATAAGTGCCACGGAAATACGTTGTTAGGATATTATAATATAGTAGAAGTGATATGGTTTTCGTCGAATTGTTTTAATTTTTGTTTCTTTTCATTTTTTTTTTTTTCCTATTAATTTGTTTAACCGTAGGTATTATATAAGAACGAGTGGTAAGTCGGTACATTAAATTTGAAATATTATAATAAACTCGCTATTTTAATTATTATTGTTCAACGGTTTTGTCGTAATAGTGTTTTCGTTCAGAGTACGTATACCTATAATACCGCGTGTCGTTGTTTTTTATCGTCATATTATCTATATATTATTAACTGTAATACGCTGTCAATTATTTTTGACGGTTACAGGTAAAAAAAAAATCTAAAAACTATAAACATTTAACTATGAACGGTGGTAATTCATCCGGTCTAAGGGAATTTTCCACATGGCACCGAGTAAATATTATAAATCCGAAACTATACATCGTGTAATACCTTTAAACCTGTTGCATTTTCGGCAGTCGTTTATTTTTTAAAATATTTCCGGGAGGGGAGCGGTGACAGCGTTGCAAACACGCTGGTCGCAACGATCATCCATTTATTCAGCAACGTTCGTTCGTATCCGATTTACGCGGGAAGTTCGTCAAAATTTGTAATTTGTATAATATTTATAATATCTAAATATTTGTGAGAAAAAATATTACCTATAAATAAACCTATGGGGGTGCGAGAAGTGCCCACCTATCGGATTCTATGACTTGCTCAAAAAAGCAAATGAAAATGTTTTAAGTACTATAATTAAATATTTTCACAATAAACATATGAGTGAATGCTCAACGAACAGGTTTGGTTTTTAGTGTAATTTGCAATGATTGAACTCAAGCTAACCCATGGGTAGGGACGCGCTACGATTTTTTGTCGAGGTACTCAGTCTCATATCTCATTCCTGTTGCCACTAAATTCGTACAATACTTATATCAAAACCTTGTATTGACATAACGGATCTCAGCCAATAATACCTTTGGCCAATAGTTACAAATAAGTTGAAAGAAGTGTTGTTTTTTGATCATTCTGTAAAACTACAAAAACCGATGTTCTACGCAAGCGATATTGCAGGCTATTTATTACGTGGGATTAATAATCAATGGAAATATCTGTTATTTACATCACGGCATAGACACAATTGGGGCGGGGGAGGGCGCTGGGGATTTTTTAGCACCCCCAAGTTTAAAATTAACACCTCCGAAAAAACCCAATAAGCTTTTTCGTAGTAATGACTAAATATTTTATCCATGTCTTTCATAATTAATGAGTAGACAAAATTATAGATTTCCTATACAGACAATACACGTGTGTATGAAAAATAAATATGATAAATTTGTATACAAAATTTTAAATGAAATGTGTATTAGTTGCTTATTGTAAAAGTCATATAAAGAGAATTTTGAAGCATAGCTCACATAGGTTTTTTATGTGTATATAATTTTAGTACCCCCAAAGTTGGAAGTCTCGTCGCGCCTATGCATCGCGGAAAGAATTTACAAAATAAATTTATCCTGAGAAAAAAAATCGACTAAGAAGCTATAAATGTGACGCGAAATGTGAACTTTGTTTCGGGGGCGCGTAAATCCCGAATCCCACCGAGTCCGGCGGCGCACACAAAGAAGCCAAAAAATATCTTCGCGAGGACCGTACGCGTGACGTTGTTATTACTGCAATAATATTATAAAATATTTCCGTGGGAATGCTACGACCGTTATGTAAAATATAACAAAAAGGGACATGGAAAAAAAAAACCCTCAATCTCGTTCGCTCCAGATAATCATACAATAATATACACAACGCCCCGTGTCTGTATACAGTGCCGTGTAAGACGTGTAGTGACGTAGTGTACGAGTATTAGAGTAGTGTACATTATTATTATTTATTATTATTTGGCCGGGAGGACGGGCGAATTATTGTTGTTATAGTAATAATAATAATAATATTATTATTATTATTATTATTACTGTGGTTTCCGAGGAGTAGAACAATCGTCGTCATCGTCGTTGTCGAGGACCTCGCCCCGAAACGGTTTTGGGAAAGAAAAAATAAAAATAAAAATATGCTGATCCCGGGCGAAAAGTAATAACAAAAATAAATAAATAAATAACATAGTAGGCATAGTATACTTATATATACATTAAAATATAATAATAAAATACTCGATCTACTGCGCGCGCGCACTGAGCCGAGTGGTTGCTGCACGTTGCACGCGCGCCTTCGACATTTCGGCTGACCCGGGACATTATTATAATAACAGCGGCAATAATATAAATAAATATCTGGCCGTTTCGGACTGTACACGATATTGTGTTATATATAGGTACCTAGAAAAAGCGATTTCTATACACGGTCGGGTGGTAAAAAAATATGAAAAAAAAAAAAATACGAGAACAGTACCGTGAGCGGGCGGCGGCGTACATGTTATTTTACGTGTGTACGCGTACACACGTGTAACTGTACAAAAAAACTAAATAAATATTATCGTGTACCTATTATCATGCGCGTCTATCGCGCTCTCTTCGCGCCCATCTTCCTCTGAACGGATATAAAATATTATTGTTGTGCTTCTCGGGTGACAAGGTCGCCGTCAGTCGGCGCGCGAGGGACGGGAGAAAAAAAAAACACCCCGACGGTTTTCACAATGAGACGGGACCCCGCGAGTCGTTGTCCTGCGCCTAATATATATACCCGCTGTAGGTGTATGATTTTATGATCCAGACGAATCGCTATTTTTTTGTTTTTTTTTTTTAACCCCCTTAAAAAGGTTTTCCCATTGTGAACGGCACGACAATACACTAATAATACCTAGTTAATGTGTTTACAAGAAAATATCATATATATATATATATATATATATATACATCGCGCGACTATACATATATGTACATAATATAAAATAATATTCCGTGTGCAGAGAGCACGAACAAATAAATTTTAAAAAAAAGACATCTACTAAAAATAGTATAATATGGTATTAAATAATATTTGTAGAACATACAGCAGGTGTCATTTGAAAACGCCGACAATATTGAAATTTGCGGTGTTTGTAAAACGTAACACGATACAATAAACGAAATTAAAGAATAATATAATAATAAGAATAAGAATAATCATTGAACAATCGATTCGGTTTTGTTTGCGTAGTGTTTAATATTAAAAATAGTATTTTATTATTTAGAAGTGATTTAAAATAGTTGTCCGTACATATTATTATGGAAAGAACGATCAAATTTCGATGTCGGATTAAGAGGACGTTATACTCGCATCTACTGTCTCGGTCCAACTACCGAGTAACATGCAAAAATAAAGCTTGTGAAGAATGAGTAAAACAGGCTAGATTTTGAATTTAGAGTAAAAATACGTATAAGAAATGTATAGAGAATGTCATTAGTTTTTTTTGATTTATAAACTATTAAAAAAGTTAAAGTCATTAAAAAAAAGAAGAAAAAAAAAGGTTTTTGTATCTTTTGTATCGAGCTATATACTTTTAATAATACAAAAACCCTTTGAAATTCTCACCAAATTATTGTTCTCTATAAATTTCATAATAGGTACTTTTACTTTAAAATCAAAATCAAGCTAGTTTTACTTGTTCTACGTAAGCATTGGTTTTGCATGTTACCTAGTATTTGGATTGAAATAGTAGATGCAGGTATAACGTCCTCTTCAACGCACAATCCATATTTCATCGTTTCATTGTTTTTAAAGATTACGACTTAGGCGTGTACTTTAGTGAAGAAGCTATTATTGTCGAATTTCCCTCGAAAGTAATTTAGAATTTGGACAAAAACTAATATGGTTGCCTTTTCAAAACGTGGTAAAATTTTCAAAATATTTGTGCCATATAATTTTGTGAGTTTTTACATAGTTTTTATTCAGTAAGTAGGTACTCTGTGGATAAAATTGTCAAACCAAAGAGAAATGCTTGAAAATTTAACAGGAGGTTCATTATAAGTCACACTTGGTAGGCAAAAAAAAAAAAATTGAATGTAATGTAAAATTTTTTTCATAAGAATTTTAATATAAGGTTATGATAAAAATTGTAAATATTACAACCTTTGAAAACATATAGGTCAAACCGAACTTTGCTCAAAATTGTTTTTCGTTAGCAGTGATTAATCGTGGCGTACAGTTATAAATTAAATTCCTCTCTATATCCTACCTTCCTAACTTCTCACGTACAGCAGTGACCCACCCATCGTGCAAAGTATGTCCGTTTTTTTTTACATTGTTGATTTGGCAATTACAAACATATTAAATTAGGCGAAATTAAAAAAAAAATGGTTAATCGTATTTTATATCAGTTGTTAAACATAACAACTCTTTGTTTTCATTGATAAGTGATGGTATAGTATATTTGTGTTTTTTTTTTCATTTTTGAGTGTAGGTACCCGTAGTTTATTTTTAAATTACTCTCCTAGCGTATTATTTTCCAATTTTGAGTAAATTGATTATCATAATACAAATATAGAAGCCTTGACTCACCACTAAAAAAAAAAAAAAAAAATAAGAAGTGTGCTCGAACTGCCACATTTCTATTCATACTATGATTACATATTATTTTATTAAGTTTATCCACCGCAGATTCGATGGAAGCCCGTAAGACATACGACAAAATAGTATTTTGTATCCTTGTGCATTTCACAGTTACATAGTTTTTAATCTACACCGTAAACGGTTTTGCTATATACGAGTATAAACAATAATCTAACAACTCGGTCATATTGAATGGGGCAAGATCGTTTTCCTATATTACTCATTTTCCTACTCCTAAAAAAGATACTTGCAATGATAACCTTGGTGATATAATAGAAGTAAAACAAGTTTTTAATAACATTTTTTGCTTGTAATGTTGTGCGAACAATTTGATAACGTTTTCTTGTTATCAGTTAGTTTACAACTTAAAAATATCGGAAAAAAAATGTTTCAATGACATTCAAAATATAAATTATTAATTGTAATCAATCAGTTAAACATAATAAATAGTACGTAATATTTTATTGATTAATATCCAGTCTTGGGTTGAATATAAACATGTCCAGACAACTATTCTTGGCCAGAATATTATGAAATGTATACGCGTATGTACACACATTATTGTAGGAGAATGGCAGTTAACTTATTTATGTAATGGTGAAAAATAACGGTATCTCATTTTTGAAGGAAGTCATTTTTATCGTCGATAACTGGAGTAGTATATAGATAACCTATAAAGTGTCCAGAAAACAAACAAATTAATACTACGTAGGTTATCTAACAGTATTCCTCACGTCGCCCCTCGGTGTAAGTGTTGCACTGGTGTACGTGAAAAATACGAGTAGACACCTATATTTTAACAATAATAGTACCTATACACTTTACACCGCCGGACGGGAAGTTACTATATAATATAATACGTCTAATATACCTAAATTGTGGCGGTATATATAATATAATATGTATATCGGTGTTTGTTTATTTGTCTATTCGAAAATGAAAAAAAAAATCGTCGGTAATTATTTAAGTATACAAAAAAATACTGCAGGTTTTTCACGGGGAAAAACAAAAGACGAGTTCGAGTCCATTCACAACACGTACAACACTTCATCAGAGAGCCTCCGGCGGGTGATGACGTGGATCGTCACCGTCGTCGTCGCACAAAGACAAACCCGGTAGCCGAACGGTACCTATAACATCGTACAGCGTTTTACTGTAGTGGCATGGTCCAGGTGAATAATTACCTTAGAACGCACGTGTTTGTGTGTGACGGCGTTTCGAGTTCTACTAAATAACTTTTTAAACATATTTTTTAAAATAATAAAATCGTATAAATAAAATAATATTCATATTATACACAGTTTCTTTGCAGTATACGGCCACGGCCGGACCACCTGACAACCGTAGTCGGTACGGTTGGTTTTCTCTTTCTTCGGGATGCACATTATTATAATTGCACCTGTTCGCAGATGGTGCAGCAGGTTCTTATGTTGTAGCGATAGCGATAGGAAAAAGGGGGGAAGGGGATATGGCGAAAATTACACTCCTCGCATTATTATTATCATCATCATTGTTATATTATTATATGCGCTCTGAAGGGTGACCATGAGAGGAAAATCTCGAGACACAACGGTAAACACGGGGTTGATAAAAATATTGTATGTGTAACATGACTCTTCCCCGTATAGTTCAATAATAACCCGTGAGAATATTGCTACGTATTCGACGATTTCGGCCGAAATTCATTGATCTTTTTCTGAATAATAGTTTTTTTTTTTTTTTGTCAATACATAAAGTCCCGAGTTGTTTTAGTGAAATGACTAATAAATTATAAGACGTATATATACATAATAATACGCCCTATTGTAAGCTATAAACACGCGACGGGTCGATTAGAAAGCGAAAGGATTAACTATTGACAAACAATTCAATATAATAATATATGTAAACACGTGTTACGTGTGTATAGTGTGTCATAATTTATGCGCTTAAAAAAATGCCAAAAATAAATATAGGCAACCTACGAACGGTAAAACGGTAAATTATACTTTTACGGGAAAAATGGCGAACAAATATATGATTATTATATCTATATGTACATTTAGAATTGTCTCTTCGATAACTCAATAACTGGATAAGGTACCTTCGACACTTATAAAACAGTATCCAATATCGAAATCGAGGTAATTTTCGGTATCTATACCCATTTTATTATGTCAAAATGATAAGGAAACCGCGATAATCACATCGCGGTTAAATTAATTAGATAAAATTAATTATTTTATTTTTCAATTTGATCATGCGTTTTTATTTCTAAATTCTAAATAGGGCGCTCGAAAAATATTTTTATTACCTTTACTAAGGTATTGAATATCGAAAGAAAATCAGTACGAATTTATTCCATCTTTAACATTTTAATTATGTATATTAGAACTTTAGAAGACCGTTGACATTATACAATATTTTTTTTTGTTTACGTAGGTATTGAGTGAGTTATATTTTTTAAATTATAAACCTGTCATTCGAACATAAACAAGTGGAAACCCTTGAGTGTATATCATAACGTATAGTGTGGTACATTTTCACTTTATAATATACTTCAATATAATAAATATAGGTATCCTTAAAACTTATATACACAATACAATCACCGACAGAGTTGCGTGTAAATCCATTAGAATTTATATTATGTTATATTGATGGATGGTATAACACGATTATTATGATGTGAGAAGGCGCCCTATAATGGTACCGCACTACTGTAGTTGCCGTATACTTTATTATTTATAAAGTCACAAAAAACAAAAAACAAAAACACATAATGGTTGTGACATGATGGACGTATATGAATAATAATAATTTTGCACTTCACTGCGTAACAATAATATGAGGTTTACTTCATATTATTATAGTTAACAAGTGCAATCACTTCAAACAACGACAAATCAGTGTAATCAAAATAAAAAAAAGATTCTTAGTGGAGTTTGGTTAACTAGTAAGTTAGCCAAAATAAGGGTGACTTAAAAATCAACAACAATGAAACCAACGCGTCATCATTTGTTGTCGGTTATATTAATTTTGTAGAAAAACTGTAGGGAATCTAGAATTTTGTTTACAAATAAATAGAACCATCAGGCGTTAAATCCGTATCGTTTAAGGTAGAAGTGAAAAAAATCTGAGTGTTTTTAATAACCGGAAAAGTTTTTGATCTTAATAGTAAAACTAATAGCTACACTTAGAATCGAAAAACGTATACATCTTTATTACAGAGAACAATTAATAGTAAGTAGTTAGGTACTTATATGTTTATATTTCGATGTATCTTGTATAATATTATAATATTGTTTTTCGTAAATTAAGTATTATGTTTAGCTCTTATGTGGTCTATTTGACATTTTTTTTTTAAAGTCACTATATTATTTATTATAATTGACAATTTCCACTTGTTTTAAACATAATATATAAGTACATAATTACGTTTTGTTCTATATAGTCTACGACGGCGACGACGGGGAATTGACGTACAATACAATAAAACAACACGGTAAAACACAGCATCGTATATTATTGTACGTATAAATTGTTATAAACAAATGTTAACCAACTTAAGGTGGTAAAATAGAATTGAATACCCGCCTATAATACTCGTACATATCCATAAACTCGTCGCCACGCTATTATATATTTTCAACGAAACGAAATGGGCATTATATTTAGTAGCTGGCCGCGGGTCTATTGTGATGCAAATGTGCGTATTTGACCACCTATGGTTATTATTGTCTCGTTGGAGAATTTTTTTTTTTTTGTTCGAACCGATATTGGACCAAATCATGATGTCATTCAAAGTTTTCGTTATTAAAATATTTATGTTATATACGTACTCGTTTAGCTATACATATTATGCGATAATTGACCATAAATATTTTTAACTACTGCTGCAGCGCGAGCTCAGGTAATAGGTACCTACCTGTAATACTATAATATATATTATCTATCCATGGGGCCTTGGTCGGTACATATTGATTTTAGTTGTTTACAGGGTGTTTCGGGTTGATTCGTACAAAATTTGATAATGATTTCATGATAAGTCAGGATGAGTATAATATCGATAACTTCCATTATCACGTTTTATATTGAATGTCATACACAATCGAATGAAAAGTGAGATTTTTCGTACACCAAAACTCCAATTTTGATGTACCAGTAAATTGTTGATAATTTTTTTGAACGCTGGCGTATGGAAATCTAAAAATCGAGTTTATTACAGTATTAGTTTTCGATTCCATTCACCGATACATCATAAAATTGTTCTCGAGTTTGTACAGATAATCCTGAAACACCCTGTATAATTGGAAACGGGTCAACTGATGTTGGGCAATAGTTTAATAATAATCATAACTCATGAGCCCTCGAGAAGAGATCAAATCTTATATCCAACATATCTATTACTGCGTGTAGGTAATGCACACACAATGTTAAAAATCAGAAATTTTCCTGCGCACTGTGTACTGGATATCTCATTTAGTTTTAACACGTCATTATAATATAATACAGTAATAATAGTATAATGTGCATGCGTACGAGATTATTAAATCTTGCGGTTTCGCGTTCTGGACGAGTTATATTTATATCCTTCGACCTTGATAAAAATGTAATATTTTGTTATTTAATTTATATTATTTATACAGTAATAGTAAATAATCGTAAGAACGACCAGTCCAATGACGGCGGTCGTCGTTTCTTATTATTTTTTCTCGCCGCGAGCGCCGTTTAGGATGTGCGGTAAAAATGAATTTTCACAGTTTTTAAAATAATCTATTAGGTATGTATATTATGCAATAAACACAAACAGCAGCCACAGATTCTATATAGAGCTAGGAATATGTTATACGTTTGAAACTAATGCATGGCAATCGACTCTGCTGCGGTGATTCCCGAAAAGAAATATGTGTACATTTTACTAGATTCGGAGGGTAGCGAGGACATTTATTAGGTTTACAATAATATTTATTTTTTTTTCTGTATGCAAATTTTGCTTGAAAATTTAACGGAGGTTCATTATAAGTCGAATTTTGAGGATTAAATGTAATGTAGAATATTTTTTTTAATAGAATTTTAATATTACATTTTGACGAAAATCGTAAATATTACAACCTTTATAATTTCAAAACATATAGATATAAACGCACACCGCTCAGAATCGTTTTTCGTTAGCAAAGATTAATCGTTGTATACATATAGATATTAAATTAAAACTCTATCCTACCTTCTCAACTTCAAACCCTTCGTGCGAAGTATGTTCGTTTTTTTAAATTTGGATTTATAAAATATGAATACTGAATAGGTATTAACATAGAAATAAATTTTAAAAAACCGTCATAATATAATATAATATTATATTATATTATATTATTGTATTGTATGAAACTATCCTCATAGTCTAGTCTTAATTTAAGACTATGAAAATGAGAGATAATAGCGTGTACGTGTGTGCCTATGGCAGGTACTTTATTATTGCTTAAAAAAAGTAAAAGAGTGTCTATCTATATCGTTTATGATAATTTGCATTATTACATGCAAACATATACATACAATATAGTAAAGACTGAAGAAAAATTATCCGCACTGTAAACGTTATAAAATATGCATTTCGAAATAATATTATTTTGCACGATGCCAAAAAAATAAAAAATTGTCATTGCGTAGTTACGTAGTAAAAGTACCCTTCCAAACTATGTTGTGATATGTATTTACATTTTCAGCTCTCAATTCGTAATCCGTACACCAGTACTATACCTATACAATCTGTGTTGTTTAAAAATTGTATTTGCCGTCTTTGTCTTTCTAACGGATAATATATGAAAAATGTGCTTTTGTGGTAATCTGTAACTTTAATAAACTATTAGAGCAACATTGTTTTCCTCAAATTAAAGACGGCAGCATTTACTATGTATTTTTTCATAATTTCATAATAATTTCAATTCTTTACGAATACACTGTCTGTGAATTAAATAACATGAAAAATCCCTCCGTGAAAACATAATAAGTATAGTAAACAACATTAACATCATTAATTTTGTGAAATAATTTTGGTTTTATTATACAAGTCAGAAGCCTAGGACATTAATATATAACGTACGATGGCTAAACGTGACAAGGATTTTTTCGAAAGGGCTTTTCGTTCACTTCAAATTCTTTACTACTACTCCCGCCCTCGTAACTCGTTATTAAACACTCAACTGTTATCTCTATAATTTCATAGGAAAACACATATTATAAATAAAAATCTCATATAATTGTTGTCAAATGTTGAAGTATAATTATTAAGCGTGACAAATATTTTTTTAAAAACATTTAAAATGATTTTTATTTTTAAATTTAATGGTATTATTCACAAATACAAATACTTAAATAAAAAATGTACAAACAAAATAAATAAACATTTTACAGGAATTCGTTTAATCATAGGCACTTAACCCCACCATTTTTATCGGAGTTGCAAATTAATAGCTACGCTAACCTATGAGTAATTTGCAAAAAATACCATTTTTTTTTTCAGTATATGATCACACTAATGATCATACTATAATCACTAATAATTAATATACTATCGGCTGACGGCTATATTGAATTTGAATCTAAAATTACCACTAAACTAATATTACTAATATGTTTACATATTTATTCGATACATTTCCACTTAATGCTGGTAAACAATTGACTATAGGGCTTTTCGATCCACCTGCTTCCTCGGTTCATCAGACCATAACTGAATTAAACGCAATACATTATTTGTTACCCCGTGATTTTACTCCAAATAAGTATTTTATTTAGTATTTAGTATTTTAATTTAGGTATTTTATACTACAAAATCTACTCCCCCCCCCCGAGTTAATTGTAATTTTCCATGTTTTTAATGTGTTTAATTAACACGGTTCATGCGAGGGGACGTTCAAACCAAACCCCAAGCGCCGTTGACTTTTATCATGTATAGATATTTGCAGTACTATAATTTTGTAAAAAGCGTACACCGATTTTAAAATCGGCAGTTCCTTATGTACTAATGGATAAGATGCACCGTGCACATCGGCAAGAATTATTACGAATTCCGATCACAAACATTAATATTGTCATAAACGCGTGTGGCGGTCTTGCGTCTATTGTTCGCCGTCGTAATAATATTATAATAACAAATAAATAAAAGCGTTTCCTAGTCGTCGCCAACGAAACCGCCACCATAATATTGTCATGCGATTTTATTAAGTATTATTTTTTTTTGAAGTGCGTGCTCTCGGATGAGTCACGCGCGTTTTCAAACATAATATGTGTATAAATAAAGTATATTTACGACACATGATTATAACAGTGTAATATCAATACTCTTTTTAGCGCATAGTTATGAGGTTTTGTTTCAACAAGTCCGTATAACAGTGTATATATATATATAGGGGTTAACGGGAGAGAATAGAGAGGTTACAAAAAAGTGTCGTTAATTTGTTACGCACAAATCCAAATTACTGCAGTGTAACTGATGCGCGTGATGTATAGACAGCGCTAGAAACCCCCATCGTACTTCTATATGTAAGTATATAAAATTATTCTATTGTCTTTAATTGGTTCTTAATTGCGCGCGCGTATAACGCGGTTTTACGAGTTCAAAGGGTCGAAATTAGTTTTGTGTTGCTTTTTTTTTTCTTAGTCGATCTAAAAACGCGAAAATTAACAGAAAAAAAAAATACTCAAAACTAATTTATATTATAGTACCACCCGTGAGTTTTTTTTTTATAGGCTTATAGTAATTGAACGATACTTATACTTACTATATTATTCTATAATAATTGTACATCAACTATATTATATACGGTATATTTGACCGACTGATGGATTAGTTATTATTACTAATTAATATTTGTGCTGTTGTATTGTTTATTAATACTTTTTTTTTATAGAGTATGGTAATTTTTTTTTTTTTTTTTAATTTTAGATTTTGAGTTTACTTGCCGAAAAAGCTATTACAGACTATAGCTTTACTAAAATCGTATGTTTTTCTCGTGGAAAACAATGCTCGGCGATAGGTATCTATATAGTTATACTTTATTTGAAAATATGTCAAAATACCCAACAGTATTGTTTTAAAAAACTAAATCAAACCTGACAACAAATGTCAAATTGTTCATGAAATCGGTATTATAAAATTTTTTGATTTCAAATAACGGGAAAAGACACGACTATAATATTAGGATAACCTCATCCGTCCCAATCCATACAATTTTTCTAGGGGGGGGGGTGTATTACTTTTTTTTTTTGGTTATCTAGATTCTAGATTATATACACTCTTACTAAAACCAGTCAAGGTTAATTATTAATTTAACGGGGGGTCAAACAAAATTCCAGGGGGGCTATCGCCCCCTTTGTCATATACCTGATTTCAACACTAATACCGAGCTCTGTTCAGAATCGTTTTTCGATATTCGTTACTTTCGGTGGTGTTATAGCTTCCAAGAATTCCACCCACGGCAGTCTGGCTTTTTGAAATAATCTGTTTGTTATTATATTTTATTAAAAAAACGTTGTTTAAACACGTCGAAACATTAAATAATGTGTTAATAATTATTTCTTTACGTATATTACGGAAGAGAAGAAACAAGTTTTCCGTGCGAATTTCAAAATGCTAATTAAATTCGAAAATATAAATAATAATTATTATATTTGTGCGATATAATAATAATGATAAATTGACGAAGGGTTGAGAGAGATAACTCTCTCAACACGAAGGCCGAAGAATAATATTATATTCACGAATTATTAAAAAAAAAAACCAAGTAACAAAAACACAACCTGTCAGCCATGTGTATAATTTTTTACATTTATATATGTGTATGTGTGTGTATGCGTGTGCGGTATATGTGTTATTATACCTATACATTATTTTATCAATGTATGAGATGTAAATTATTCAATTGGAATACACCTCGAAAAAAAACTGCATAGACATGAAAAAAAAAATGTAATTCTACAAAACATATATTATCAACCATTAAGGTGTTTTGTTTTATTAGTTTTTTTTTTTTCGTAAGGGTATCATACTTATTGTATATTTTTATTTTTTTTTATATAATTTTTTATCAGAAAAACAAACGGCGTGATGGCGGTGGCGGCGGCTTATTGTAATATCGAATTACGATCGTATAATTCAATTATTATTATATATATATATATATATTGTGTAAAACAAACTATGCAAGTATACGTAAAAATGAACTGTATACAAACCGTTTGCGTTAGAATATCCATGTATTGATATTAAATAAAAAGTATTATTATTAAAAAATTGACCGTATGATAATGATAATGATTTAATACGTATTTTCTTCTATACAATATATAATAGCACAATGTTAAACATTTATAACCAATACGTATAATATACATCGTACCGTCTTGTTATGACTCGTTTCATAGATTTATTATTATTATTTATTTTTTTTTTTTTATTATTATTTATTAAATATGGGTACGTTGCGTTTCTACACGCACCGTGGGAAATTTTTTTGTATAGAAGTTTATTACGTTATTGTCCGGTGATTCGGAGGAAAACATAATATTAATAATAATAATAATACGTAGTGTTGATAATAATATTATATGTAACGAGTGTATGACACAGTGAGGAATCGGGGAAAAAAACTGTACGTTCCAATAAAGAACAAATGATTCTATTTGAAGAATGCCGTGGTTTTACACGAAGAAACGCGTTATCGTTTTCGACACGAATTTAAAAGGACGCCCCACACCGCCATCTATCGACATCATTTTACATACGCGAGACATAACACATTTGCTTTCGGTAAGACACATTTCGTGCCGTTATAGTTTTAATATTAAAGCAAACTGACCTCTAACCAAAATTAAAGGTAAGAATATGTGCTCTAGCGTTGATGTTTTTTCGATATTTTTATTTTTAAACAAAATATAATCATTTTTAAACTGTGATATTTAACATACTCATGCTCATTTAAAAATAAAAATATCGGCAAATCATCAACGCTAGAACACATTATATAATCTTCTTTCCTTTAATTTGCTTTGATATTAAAATTAACGGCACAAAATGTGTTCTACCGAACGCAAATTTGCTATGTTTCGCGTTTGTAAGGCGGAGACAGTATGATAGATTTCGGTGTGGCGTCCTCTTAAGAGATATTAATACATGATTACGTATTTATTTAGTGTAGGATAGGATCATTAATAATAAATTAAAAAAACAAAGGTGTTAATTAGCGTTTTAAAAATTGTTATATAACATATTTATCAGTTGAATATCTTTATAACACAGAAACAAAAAAAAAAAAACGATTTTTTTTTTGTTCCGATATTAATTTTAATACATCTGCAAGAATACGTCAAAACGAATCGATTTACTAAATAATATCAGTGGAAAAAAAAAAAGAAGAAAATGTCAGCCGTTGATCCCATAATAATAATAATTTTCAACTCATCATCCGAACCAATTTTTATCGATAAATCGATATTCAATGGACCCAAGTGAGTTGGTTATCGCACAATTCATAACAAATAACATTTTACAATCGACAAATGAAACATATCTTATATTGTGATCGCACCTATTATGTAATATTATCGATGCTCGTATTGAAGGGGTAGTTAGGGGGATGGAGTACCTCAGCAAATTTTTTTTTATAAGTTTAAGCATACCTCTATTATTAGTTTCAAGTGAAAAGCGTAGGACGCAGTAGTGGATACAAGGGGGGGGGCGATCGCCTCCTCCCTTGAACAAAATAAGGAAGGAGGGGTAATTTCGAAAATGCATATAAGGCACGCATTTATGATGAATCAAGAGTATATTGGAGAGAAAACGGAGGAGGGATGCGATCGCCTCCATCTCCAATTTTATATAACTGTAGCTAAAAATATCTTTTAAATTTATGTGCGATTTGTTGCAATTTTCATAGAAAATTATAATTGGCCGATTTGTGTTAAAATAATAAAGATACAATGCTCATAAAATATTGTTCCATTTACAGCATGACGGTCGAGTGTTAGAATTTGTACACATTTCCATATAAATATTATTAAATAATAATGACCGAGCAAAATATTAAATTTGGACTTCTAAAAATAAATTGACGGCGTTCGATGAATTAAAAATATTATTTCATTGAATGTCTCGGAATAGTTACACGAAATTCAAGAACACTTTCGATAGACTCAATTGCAGATTAAGTGTATTGCTGAGTGATTCGATATACATATAAGACACACGTGTTTATACATCGTTATGATATCATATTATACTTACGTTTCTATAAACATTATAATGGTTCGTTGACGATTTTTCTAAACATACCTGCAGCTAAAAATATGGTCAGGATTAAAACATATTATAATACAGAAGAACGAGTTTGTCTATATGTATGTATATACGATCAGAGGCGAAACAAACGTGGTTTTATGTAAGATTTAGAGGTGTCGGTTCTCAAAATAAAAATCAAAAATAATCAAATATCAATAGTACTCTTATATTACTAATTCCGTAAAAATAGGTGCAAATATTGATATGCACATAGTGATTTTTTTTTTATCATAATTCAGCAATTTTCTCGTAGGATTTTAAGTGAATTTGTTTACTGTTCTTTTTTTTTTAGATTCTGAGTAGAACGAGGAAAAATATGTTTTACAATGACGTTTTTTTTTTATCTGTGAACAAATTTTCTACTTACAATATTGCTATAATTTACAATGATAGCACTTTTCCTGAAAGGAAATATGACCGTGGTGGTATTTTAGGGAGTCCATATTTGGATTTTTCTAGCTGCAAATAGGTACAATATTAAATAAATATTATTAAAGAAAATATACAATACATATGTAACTATTTTACCAAAATATGACATATGTATTGTTGACAAATCAATACTATCAACCGAACTCTGCTCAAAATTGTTTTTCATCAGCAATGGTGAATCGTTGAGTACTGATTTTTTTTTCATTATCATTGTGGAATCGTTTAAGCTTTATTTTGAAACCGTTTTTAATTTTTTACGCCTACTCCATATACCTTAAATAAGTATAAGTATTTTTATTGTTCTAATAGAGATCTCTCTTTTTGAACACAGATTCGAATAGAGATTATTTTTCTAGACATTTTGATATGCATAACACTAATATCAGATTTACCGTTAATGATAGTTATAACTGTTAAAAGTAAAGCCCGGAAGAATTCCCCACTCTTGAGTTTTCAATTTATCATTTAAAAATATATGTGTAATTCATTACTTTTCCCTACACTTCCGGTATATTTATATACTTTAAATGGTTATAACTCATAAACGGTAAATCTAATATAAATACCATGCATATCAAAATATCTAGAACAATAATCTCTATTCGAATCTGTATTCAAAAAGAAAAATTTGAAAAAATGTAAATTTTTTTCAGTTTCTCCTATTTAAAAATTTTATCATGAACATGTTTCGGTGATTTCGTTGATAATTGCAACGCAAAAATAATAATTGATTTTCCGTGAATATATAAATTAGTTTCTAATCATTTTAAAACTGTTTAACTTTATTGTAATATAAAAGCAACGTATGGTTGCGGCGGTTTGCAGACTCGAAAACTGATCGATCGAACTCGATCGATTTGGTTGAAAATGTCATGATTCGTTCACATATTCGTTCCAGAAACGTATAGACAGTGGGTTTGAACAGGAAATTTGACCATCTAAAACTACGCTCTCGAAGTAAATTCGCTCATGAAACACAAGAATTTCGCATTTTTTGTTTTTGGTTTTATCTGCGTGCAGACTCGTTATTTTACACGATTTAGATTAGGTTCAATACCGCAGGCGGACAAAGCAGCGAGGTAATGGAAATTATTGTATTAAAAAAGAAATTTAATTCGAAACGGGTCCGGCTCCCGCGTTGGCCCTAACGAGACGTCGTCGGTGCAGGTCGCGGTCGCTTCGGTTACCTATCGGTATAATAAAAAAAAAAAAACCGAATATTGTACCGCCGTCGGCGCCGAGTTGTCGTCGGGCCCGGTGCGATTAACAGGTACTGTGGCGGTGCGAGTGGCGGTAGGGGAGGTGGGGGTGGCGCGACGAGCCGTTTCTCGTACGACGTTGTCCACCCTTAGCGCGCGCGTCGGCGGCGGCGGCGCGACAGCGTCGGCGACGGTTGGTGCCGTCCACCCGACTCGAGTGCTCGACACGCGTCGCCGCGCTCCGTTCAGTCGTGTGCTCGCCGGCGTCTCCGTACGGCGTCTATTCCGTCGTCGTTATCGTCCGCGCGGTATTTCTCCGTTGCCGCCGCCGTCGCCGTCGCCGGCCGGTCGTTTCGAATGTTTTCGCGCCCGCGTATTCATTTATCGGCGGTACGTTTTCGGCAGTGAAAAAAATCATGAATAAACAAATCGACTAGGTGTACCCGTTCTTAGTGTTGCGTTGTGTTTTTCATTCGAATTTTTTTTCCTCGTTATCGCCGAATTTTCATGTTTTTGGCGATGAAAGTCGGGTGCCCGTTTCCGTTGTCCGTCGGCCGCTACCATTGAAAAGTTGTTTCCGCGACTTGCGCACGTAACATCGGCGGTAGTCAGGTGAGTCTGCCCTCCTGGTTTTTTAATTATTTTCCACCCTCCCCCCAAACCGCCCGTCGGCGTGTTAAAAACAATTATATATATATACGTATACGACTTCGTCACGGTGACGCCTAAAATATTTTAAACGGGTAGGGGGACTCGGTGAATTTTGCAATCCACTTGCAATCGCTTGGGGGGAGGGGGTAGCGATTTTCCATACATTTTAATATTACCGAAACTGTCGAAAAACCACTTACCTATATCTGTTATTGCATTACGTTTTGATCGGACGTTTAAGTATACCATTCATAATCTGACAATAATAAACACGCGCTTTTTAAACGTTCGGAGATTAGCGGTCGGGCAATTTCGAGGGACTGTGTATTAGCCCCCTCCTCCCCCTCAACTCGCTCTCTGTGCCACTGAATTTCGTCGCGTTTCTCCGTGCAATCACGCCATCGTTTCGGACGCCCTTTAGACACCGGGCTACCGCGGCCGATAAAATAATAATTACAAAATACGCGCACAGTTGTAATTTTATTCCGATTCGATTACGGTACACACGGGTACGCCTATACCTGTCCCATGCCTCGCGTATAATAATAATACACGCTTCCTGCTGTACGTATGATAATAACAATAACGAACAATATGTAAACTATAAATTATGCATCTTATCGTACGGCCCCGTGAATTATTATATTTTATACTGTTGAACCGTGTAGTGAAATCGACACGATCGGTCCGTTTCGCCGGTGCCCGCGCCGCGACAACGAACGACAGTCGACGAACAAATTCAACGAAAATCCGCGGGAAATTCTTTGGTCCCGCCGGAGTAGGGCTTAAATAAATTTGTTTTTTTTAAATTTTCATAATTTCGTCTTTTGTTATTAATTGTGTCACCCTTTGTTTTCCCGTCCGAACGGCACAGCGGTACTTACGCCGTGCATTTTCAAAATGTCGAATTCACTTGTATTGATAACTGAACGTATCGAGTAATATTATAGCAAGTGTAGTAAGTATAAGCGCAAGTCACAGCGATCGAAGAATTATTAGTACAAGTCTAATATCCATTCGAATTTATATTGATAGGTTTTCGTGTAATTGCAGGCACCGTTTCGCGAACGAAATTCGAATAAACCGGCCGACCGACCGCCGCGGTCCGTCAATTGTTTGGCGAGCATATTATACATCGCTGCGCGTCCCCTCCCCACATCATCTTCAAAAATATAAAAAGGTGCCCGAGCAACATTATCCAGGAAAAAAACGCCCGATCTAAAAACGTTATAAGTAGGAGTCTATACAACGTAGCAGACAGTACACAAAGTAGGCGAAATCTTTAAACCACGTGTTCGCATTCGGACGCGGACAACCGCCTTAAAAAACGACAGGCACCACCGTCCGATAATCAGCTGGATTTTCGAACCGAACGTATAATTAAAAAAAAAAAAAGTTTTGTAAGCTTAGCTTACAAACGCTTAGCTTCGTCGTTTCGTTGGGGTATCAGTAATATTATTGGCTTGAAATCGGCAATCGGCTACAGGTGGTTTTTGGCCGTTGGTTATACAAACTTAACGTATGTCGTATAATGGTTACGATGTCGCTGTACCTACCGTATTTTTTTTTTTTTTTTAGATTTGAGCGCAATAATATTTTTTTTTTCTGTTATAATGTGTTTATATTTATTTTTGTGACTGTAAACAACTTTTCTACCAGAAATCTTGCGCAAATCAAAAACCGTATTGGTACGTTTCTTGTTCTATTTTTAATGTAATTGATTGACTAGTTTTTTGATTTTCCTCGTAGCTTTCTCGACAAATGGGAAAAACAGGCAATTTTTGTCGAGTTCTGATGGTTACCACGACGACAAATACGAATAATAAAAACGCAAAAAAATTATTGTAACGGCAACAAGTCGGAGTTTTCCCACAATTTCTTATCGACATAAATTAAATTGCTTAATAATATAACTTTTATTACGATTTTATTTTTGTCATCGTCCGAAAATAATAATTTAAATTCAAAGAATAAGTTCATGTCATCTTGATTTACACCTCGGCCACGGCGTTTTAGATCATAATAATATACATTAAATAATAAATTAATGCGTGACAGCCTCTTGATCTTGGATCTCGGTCACTATTAAGTATATTGATATATTAATAAATATTAAATAACAATAGTTAATAAATTTGATATGTTATCATATTTATTCGTCCGTTATAAATTATTGTCGGGGCAATAACGATTGATAAATACAATAATCGACAAGTTCCACTCGTTTTATTATATTATGGCCGGTAAATATTTCAAATGGAATAATATAATACCATGTTTTTTTAAACCGATAAAATAAATGCAACGGGTGTGGAAATTATTAAAAAGAAAAAAAACGCTTTAAAGTACAGACTTACCTATGCCTATATATTTTTATAAAATAAAAAAATAAACGGTTTTTCGATCGGAGCGAATATTATTATAATACTCGTATTAAAAATGATTCTGGGGATATATATTTTTTGGTCGAACATATACCTAAGCGTTGTTGTGCGTGTAATGCGATACCTGCTAACCACAAAAATCCGTGTACTATGTAGTGTGTGTAAATAATGCGTACAATGTCCGATTCACGAATTATAAATAATTTTTTTTTCTAGAGCATTTATACTTACACGCAATCGGTCGATATTCGTTTAGATTATCGTTTTGTTTACACTCTTGGATAGCGACGAAAAAACGACGAGAATCGCCCGAAAGCCCGACAAATCGCGCGTCATACTCGTATATGAATATTATTTTGAAAAGCATTGCGACTTTGTGTAACGGAATACGTGTATATTTTTTTTTTCTGCATGTATACGTATAACATCGCGATAAGATCCGCTGACGACAATACCGTATGTGTACAGTATACAGAGCGGTTTTTTTTTGGTCCGGCGATTTTCTCGTAACACTATTTTCACATTTTCACCGCCATTCCTCAAGCGTTATTAAATTTTGATTTTTAACCGACAACCACCCCCATCTACTTTCGACATAAATTCGATAAAACAATATTTTTCTATAAATCCCTATATCACGCGTAGCACGAATATCGGACGTACAGTTCGCGAGTTTTATAGCGGTCCAGATATACGTACACCGCGAAGGAGTAGGTATAATAAGGAAAAGAGTAAATACATTTCGTGTCCATTTTTAGACGGTATCACAATGTTAACGGAACGTCCAATTATTATTGTGTTGTGCGTATTGAATTTATTAGAAAAATTTTCGCTTTTCGAAACGTATATTAAGAGGGTAATTTGTTCAAAACTCGACCGAGAGATTGGCAACCGTTGAAGTAACGGAACGTATGTAAAGATTTTGGTCGCCTTAGACGATATTCTACAATGAGGGCTGAAAGTAATCTAAGTAAAATATTCGTAAATAATTTATTTAAAAAAAAAAAATCACTCTGTATATCAAATAAAAGATATTTATGTAATCGGATTTTATTCACAAACTAATAATAACGTTATTTTTGGCATAAGGGCGGGTATATTATGCCGTTCATGTGCCTATGATACGAGTATATACTGTTTAAAGCCCGTCCGGAGGAGACGCGGTTACAAGAGAAGCGTTTAATGATCGGATACTTGGCATTTTTTCGATTATTTTTTGTTCCCACGTAATTCCACGATCGTCTTCTCCGTCACGGCCTCGTCACTCCGCGACCCGTTTATTTTACACTCGACGTCTACGCACTCATAGAAAGGAAAAAAATATCGACGAACCGCCGGTTATTATGCCGCGTCCACACGTTGGTGCCGACGTTGGCTCGTGCGTATGGGACAGCGCTCACACGACGAAGCCAAACAAAAGCCGACATTCGGTTTCCAACGTATTGGCCGACGTGTTCAACGGCCGGCGTATCGACAATGGTCCCGATTCCTATGACGTTTCGTCGTCAAAATAGCGACGGGTAAGTTTCAATACCGCGGCTAATACGCGATGTTGTTCTGTCGATCACTCCCAGTGGCGTATTTACCGGAAGGAGATTATAGCGAGTATGTCTCCCCTTGATTTTTTTTCAGTATTTATAATTTATAAGATTGCATATATTTCGAATACAAATTCCATTAATTTTTAGACAGAAAAAAACCCCAAACGTATATATTGTCTTGTTTAAAACGAAACCTATCTGGGGACCACTGTAATATGGTACTTACGTATGAATAATAAATCACTAACACTAAAAATGTTTTTCGATATTGTAATTTTACGGCAGATTAAATAGTAAATTCGGTACCGACCAAAGTATATAAATTGAAAATTGATTTTTTTAGATTCCGAGTGAAACGAGGAATGCATTGGCTTTAAAATGATATTTATTTTTTTTTTTTCTGAACTTTTCTACCAGTAATTTTGCTCCGATTCACAATGTTGGTTTACTTTTTCTGAAAGGAAATCTGAATGGGGCGGTACTTTACGGAGGTAAAACGTGAATGGCCTCAATGCCCCCCCCCCTCTGGAGCCGCGCCTGACTCCGCTTAGAATTCGTTAGCAATATAGTTTATCGCAGCTTATACAGATGTACAGTGGCTGCACCCGTCCCCCCTTTCTATTTTCTCTCTTGTAATATGACTCGTTTTGAGAATTCAATACCGTCGCAAAATCGTAAATACGCCACTGGACAGTTATCGGCGCCACTGCGGACCCGGCGTTACCGTTTATATTAGGCACGACGATCAGCTGTCCGGGGTAATTATATTTTATAAGCTCGCCGGTGGAATATACGCGCGCTCGTTTGCCCACAGAACTATTGTGTTTTTTCCCATCTCGACCGAAATATCGGACTGCGTATATTATTATAATCATCGTAATAATAATATTATTACTATCATACTTGGCTCGGTCGTTTCGAAACCGCTACATTGTAATATTATGTTCATGTATACAGCGTATTATAATGTAAATAATATACGGGAACGAGTTGTAATTTAGGCGCGCCTACCGTTTATATTATTAGAATTACGTACGGCCGCGTGTATAGGTAGGTATATCACGTATATATTATTATTGTACCTCATATTGGAACGAAACGCGTATAGAAGAAAAAAAAACCCCAAAAATGTACACAGATTACAATAGTATATCGGTGGTACTAGTGATGGGTCGAACTGTTCGATTCTCGAACCGAACCGAACCTTCGATTTTAGTTCGTTTCGAAATTCGAACCTGCAATAATAAAATTTCAAACCGAACTATTTTGTATCTACAGTTCGAAGTTCAAATTCAATTCGCACTGCTATTTTTGTTTTTATCATCAAATATCATATGGAAAAGGGGTATAATAAATGCGATAACCTTGTGTATTTCAACAATGAGTACCTACAATGAGTATTGCAATGAAATGTGAAAAATATATTTTTAATTCAGGAAAACCCATAAGTAGCAATATTCCACTGCTGTGTCCGTTATCTTGTTAACAACAATAAAAACACGTTATATATACGTTAATATACATTAATATACGTTATTTTACGTTACATAAGTACGTTGCATTTCTGTAATGTATTTTGTTAGTTCATGTGGTTATATCTATAAATTGCTACAGTGTTATACAACTCGACTCTACTCAATAAGACTTAAAAATAAAAAATGAATTGCAATAATTATGGTTGATTTACATTTTATTACTATGTAGTATATGGAAAACAAAATTCACGTTTGACTTTGAATTCGACTGTAAAATATAAAAGTTCGGTTCGGGTTCGGTTCGATGCCAAAAATCAGGATTCGACCCATCACTAATCGGTACCCGCAGAGGTCGAGAGCGAAATGATAATTCCGTACAGTGGTACTCAGTGTTAGGTTAGGTTGTGGACATTTTTATGTAAACAACACCGGTAACGTGCACAGGGGCGATCGTTAGGGGTTATATCCCCTATTTGACAATGATTATTATGTTTTGTTATAAATTTATCTTCAAACGCTTTAAATTCCGAGTCTGTGAACAACGTTGATATCAGATTTCTTGCTCCGGCCATTAACATCAGAGATGATTTCTGCTAGCACATTTTATCTAATCGGTGCTTCGATGTTGTAATTTTTATATTTTTTTTTTTAGAAATTTACGCCATAACGCGCTGTTTCTGTTATGTTAACACTTTGTAGATGTAAAATAGTCTTGTATTTATTTTTAGTTAGGTATTTGAAATTGTCGTATTTTTTTTTTATTTTATTATGTTATGTTATTTTCGTATGTGGATAAAATATTTGTACTCTATTTCATCAGTGATTTTAAATTTTAATGTTTGTTATAAATTTTAATCCGGACCAAAAACAAGGACAATAATTATTATAATTGTACATAGTTGTACGAATTAATAAATGTGATATTATAATATGATCGTCCGCTAGCCACCTAGCAAAACCTCTAGAGTGGAAATTTTCAAGTCTGTTGTCCGCTTCTCCCGTAAAATCGGTTACAACCGGCTTACAATAGAGTTTTGCTGACAGGCCAACGGCGTTCAGTATATTTGAATTCAACCGAGAAACCGTTTGATCGAGCTTCCGCTCAGAATCGTTTTTTGTTTTGCTACGATTTTTCTTATTTTTTCGCCCGTTTCGTTGTATCGTATTATTATAAATAGCCGCGTGATCCACGGGTGTAAAAACTTCGGCGGCGATCGGTGTCAGCGTTCGCGGGCCCGTTCGATAAAAATACGCAAAACTTCTCCGCGTGGATCGGGCGGCGGCGGCGGCGTTCGGAAATAGGAATTTGGCACTTTGCTCGCGCCGCCGCCGCCGAGCTCGCGATATTTACGCCCGATGACACGACGCGTGGTGTATATTTTACGTTTATTATTATTATTATTATTATTTTTTTTTTTTATTATTATTATTATGAAGTACCGTACCGGGTCGGGTCCGGGGCCAAATTTCAAGCATTTATTTACGTTTCGATCCTTTCGAACGCTCCGCGTCGTTATCAGTGCCGACCGATTATATTGCCGTTTGTCCTATGTATATATTGTTTATTATAATGTGTTAATAGTATAAACTTTATACTCGCGATATTTCGATTCCTCTCCCCCCCCCCCACGTGCCCCGACACCGGCTCGTGTATACGTACGCGGAATCGTGGCAATCCGTTTCTTATTCGGAATATTATAGTTCGAGACGAGTGTATAATATATTTTTGTCGTGCTCTCGAATCGGACACATAATCGAGAAGGGGGACACATACACGTATAATACGAGACGTAGAAAAAAAATTACCGTCCCTTATTGCGATCACTGAACCGAACCTTAACACGCGCGGGGTTTCGCGCACGTCGCTTTTCGAACATAATTCAATATAATTGCAATTACCTATGTTTAGAAAGAGAAAATAATACGACTTAATACTCATGCAGTCGTAAGTTATTGACAAACAGTGGACATCCTCCTATTCGAGCGTTGGTTTTAAACATTATTACTACTAATACTTGTCAAGGGAACGCGATACCCAACCAGCATTTGTCGTTTCCGTCTTAAACGCACACGGCAAAATCGCCTTGGTTTTTTCTCTTGATATTTTTATTTTTATTTCACAAATCATATCTCGATTAAAAATCAAAAATCAACGTAAAAATACACAGATAACGTTAATGCCTTTAAGTTTTATGTTAATGTCAATTCACTCTTAATATTTAAACTAAAACGGCACACAATCGACCCAGTCGTGACCAGTTTTTCATTTTGCAACGACAAATACATCACACACACATGCTTTTTGTGATTATTATAGATAGGTACTCTAGTATTTATTTGACAAACGAATTTTTTTTTTTCTTTTGTTTTCATTAGATTTTATTGTATACCCGTTGCACGGTCAGTATTCATGAATTAATAATTTAAGTACGATATTTGATTACGAATAATTTCGTGCATATATTATATGACCAGCTAAGAGTCATGACACTGTCATAAAAAAAAAAAAAAAATGTTATGTAATATTCAATTCCAACCTATGAGTATTGTGTGTGTCGATATTCAACCCGAACGAATGATTTCAATTATTGTACGTCTTTTTTTAAAAAAAAAAGAGCTGATACTACTAATGGGTGCTCTAATGTTTTAGATGGGAAGTTGAGAAGATAAGATACATAAAGTTATTTAATTTATATCTGTAAGCAACGATAAACCGTTTCTAACGAAAAACAGTTCGGAGCAAAATTATATGTTTTGAAATGCCGACATATTTACGATTTTCGTCAAAATTCGATTTTAAAATTCTTATAAAAAAAATTAAAATACTTACTAAATTACGCTCAATTTTTTTTTTTCACCATTAAATACTACTTATAATGAGCGTCCTATTAAATTTTCAAGTATTCAAGTATCAAGTTAGGTCAAACAATGATATTCACATAGTACTTACGAAATAAAACCTATATGTAAAATAGGCATAAAAACACACAAATGCTTAATAATAATCGTACGTCTTTTCGTCACGGCTTTTCTCTTTTGTTATGAAAATTGATTGGAAAATCCATAAACGGCTTACTTCCTCAGCAACAAAATCCAAAATGCAATAATAAAAAAAAAAAAGGTTATCTCTAGTCGTTATTCGATTAGAGAACGTTTTCTGTTTGAAAATTATTTTACAGGCAGAAAAAAACACACATCCCATTAAATCCAATAGATCCCTCGTCCCACATCAAATCGAAAAAAAAACCCCTATAACAATTGTTATTTTTTTAATCGAATTTTTGAATGGTCGTATATTCGAAACTAAGAAGTTCTCGGCACTCGATATAATATTATATGGTTATCGTTAAATTTAAAAACAAGTGCCCATAGTCAGTTTTCATAATGTATAAGTATAATTTTTTTTTTTTTATAGTTTTATAGGTACCTATATAAATATTCGACGTATTATTATTTCATTGCGCTTGAATAATATGTATAGTTGTTTGCGTAAAATACGATAGCAGTTATCACGCGGTTTTATAATTTTTTTTTGAAATTTCAAAGGGCGTATAAAATCATTGAAATACGCGTTTAATATCGCGAAATAATAATTTTTTCTCGTATTAATGACAGTTTTAATTATTTATACCTGAAAAGAAAACCCGAGTACCCAAGTAAATTAAATGCATAAATAATTTGTTTATACATGTGTCGCTACGTACCTACGTAACCGGCAATATAACGAACATTATATTATAATTTTACATTTCCTGAAAAAAAGCAATTTAAAATACAACATTAATAATAGATCGGGAAAAATGTTGTTTGAAGAAACAAAACACCAATTGAATAGGGCGCAATGTGTCGAGTCGTAAGAGGGGTAGAGGTTAGTAAAGGGCAAGGACGAAATATTGCTGCAGCGTTTGCCCTCATACGTCAAAAGTATACTATACCGGATTAGCCGTCACGAATGTATATCCAACTATTTTTTTATTATTATTATTTTTTTTTTTATTTTAAATTTGAATATCATGTTATAAATACAATTGAATTTATAATTTAATTAATTTCACGGATTTCCTGTCGCGGAAAAAGTTATTTTATTTTAAAACTGATATTTTTACAAACTTTGACTTCTGATATTGCAGTTTTAAAACGAATAAATACATACCGCCATTAGGCAAAATTCCATATTGTATTATTGGAAAATGATACGTACGATTATAGTTTTCGTCTTGATTTTATTTTTTTTTAGATTCTGAGCAGACCGAGGGAGGACCAATACATTAGTATTGGTTTTACAGGATGTTTATTATTATTTTTTACACTGTGTACGAAAATTCTACCAGAAATTTTGCTCCGAAATATCAAGTATAGCACTTTTTCTGAAAGGAAATTTTCCTGGGCTGGTACTTTAAACGGGTCATTTTTTGATTTTCCCAGGGGTTTTCATAATAAAATGGAAGAAAACTTAGGAAAAACGAAAAACTTTAAAAAAAATAATGCTTTTATTATTTTCAATTTCGGTTTTTTGTTGTAATTCAATGAAAAATATTCGTAAAGACTTGAAATATTGATAGAAAACTTTTATTTGCCTTTTATACCACGGTTATATTTTCAAAACATGCGAGTCATTTTTAAGCTATAAAACATTTTAATTTTGCGAGTTTTTTATGTAATATTTATTCGGTAGGTACTCTGTGGGTAAAATTATTAAATCAAACAGAAATGCTTGACAATTTAAAAAGAGGTTCATTTTAAGTTGTACTTAGTAGTCAACAATAAAAAGTTGTGTTTAATGTAATATTTTGTTTTTTTTTTATAAGAATTTCAATATCAAATTTTGACAAAAATCGTGAATATTACGGCTTTATAAACATGCATAACCGAACTTCGTTCAGAATCGATTTTTGTTAGCAAAGATTATACCACGTATAGATACAAATAAAGTCCCCCAATATATCCTACCTTCCCACCTTTTCACCTACAACAGTAGCCCACCCATCGTGCAAAGTATGTCCGTCTTTTTTGTATTTACTCTTATAAATAAGACGTTTACTTTGAATCTGATCAATTTCGCGTCACACCACTAACTATTCATTTAATATTCTTGATCGGCACCGATAGCCTCGTCCGATTTACTTTATCTACTCTACTACCTCAACCACCGCTTCAACTTTATAGAGCGAAATGCCGTGGATTAAAACATTGAAATCTCTACAAATTGCTTAAAAGTCGCCAAAATAATTTTAAAAATTTGACTACGTCGATAAAAGGTTAATAGTATTTTAAAAGTATTCTATGCAAATTTAAGAGTTCTATGATTACTTTTGACCGAATTACGATAAAAATTGAAAATTTAAAATAATAAACCTTTTCAAGATTTTAACTTTTTAGAGCTCCAACTAGATCCAAAATGCTACAAAAAAAGTCTCTTGTGATGTTTGATTGTAGCAAGATTTCTGGTAGAAAATTTATTTACAGGCGGAAAAAAAAATCTTTGGTGTATCATTATAGTAAAATCAATATATTTACTCGATCCTTGCTGCAGAATCTAAAAATATCAAGAATACAGAATATTCGAGTATTGTTCTCGAAAGTACTAAATAATTTAATTAATATTCGTATACAATAAAAAGCAAAAGTATTAAAATACTTTGAATTTTTAACAACACAAACTTATTTGTGTACGAGTATTTTAATATGTAACTGGGTATACCTATTTGTAATTTACACAAGTTATACTTATACCTATACGTTACTATTGTACATGACTGGGTAATTAAAAAGTGAAAAAAAAAGGAATGATTTTTGTAATTAACGACTATACTATGTTATAGCTATACCTAGGTGCCTCTATAGTTAATTCAATTTTTCCGTAAAATTTTGTTTCGAGACATTATATGACGCGCGGTCATATAATAAATAATAATTATATTCACACACTGCAGCGACCGCAGCGTGTGAACTTGTAACCGTGTTAAGGACGAAACAGTTTTTTTCCATGTTTTTCAATAGGTATACTATTCACCCTCCATTCGTATATCTACCTATGTTTCGTCGATCAAACTTTCTAATATTCCACAATATTATGCTTTATATGTGACTTACATGTTACCTAAATTTTAAAAATATTATTATTATTTTTAAATGACTATACGCAAAAATTATCGTCTAAAAATCATAAACGCCAACGATTTAATTGTTTGGGCTAGTTAATAAGAAAAACAAATAAAAGTGATTTATTTGATACAATTATACAGTGCGTCGAATTACAAAAAAAAAAAAAAAACTAACGATAGTTAAATAATATACGACAACACGTAAATAAATCGAAATCAATATTATACACACACAAATAATAATATGATCCGATAAAACACTTAATCGCGACTGTAAAACGTCTTGGAATAATAACGACTTTGTCCGCGCCCGACATTATATATCATATCATTATATCATGTGTGTATACTATTTTATAGACAAACATAACTAGCGAGAAAAAAAAACAAATAAGCTGATACTGCTCATGATTGAGCCTATATACTGTAATCTATAGGAATAAAAGAAGGATAATATATAGGGTAATTATGAATTTAATTGAATGCATATCTGTATAACCCATTGCTAACGAAAAACGACTCTAAGCGGAATACTATTAGTAGTAGTTGTTCACCCATAAGTATACTAAGTACAACTTATAATAAACCTTGTATTGAATTGTCAAGAATTTCTGCTCAGCCAAAGCAATTTTGTCCACCTAAACCATAAAAACAAAACAAAAATACGGATATATTTCGCACGATGGATGCAGTCACTGTTGGTGGAAGTTGGGAAGGTAGGATATAGAGGAGAAATTAATTTGTATCTGTAAGCAAAGATAAACCATTCCTTATCAAAAACAATTCTGAGCTGAATTCAGCTGATAATGATGCTTTGTCAACAATATGTATATGTCATATTATGGTAAAATAATTAAATAAGCATTATGTATTTTCTTTAATAATATTTGTTTAATATTGTACCAATTTTCCCGTTTTTCGTTTTTGCCGGAAAAACTCTTAGGAAAATCAAAAAATTACCCCTGTAGAATACCTTCCTAGTCAGATATTTTTTTAGAAAAAGTGCTATCATCTGAGCTACAATCGGAGCAAAACTGCTGGTTGTTCACAGAAAAAAAACCATAATATTTTATTCATTTAATATTATAGTACTTTTTCTCTTTATTGGGAAAACTGCAGGGAAAATCAAAAAATGATCTCCCTAAATGCCACCCCAAGAAAATTTCCTTTCAGAAAAAGGTCTATATTGTATACATCAGAGTAAGCTTCTGGTAGATAACATAAAAACATTCTAGAATGTTTTGAAGATTTTACCACGTCTATATAAAATGCTAAATATTCTATTTCATATCCCTACGATTTATTTTGAACCAAATTACAACAAAAAAATAAAACCCAAAATAGTGAAACCGTTTTTGCCGCGAACTTTTTTCATTTTTCCCAGTTATTGTGAAAACTGTTTGGAAAACCAAATAACCCCTTAAAATACACAAATTAGATCCGGAATTTTTAAAAATAAATTTCTCTTGTGATTTGTTCGGTCGGAGCGAAATAAAACACACGTCATACAGCAGAACGCACGCTTTCCTATAGCTGTGCTCAGAATCTAAAAGATACTGCCGACAACGATTACGCCATTCGGAAAGAGACGCCGTCGTACGTCGTCGGATTATATCTCTCGCGCGTAATTTAAATCGATCGAACAAAACGATAAGTGTACAAATGCAGGGAGGTTATTACAATATATTATATGCGCTCCGAGGACACGAGAAGACAATCATATTATTATTATATTTTATTTCCGTTGATTTTTTTTTGAAATAATAATAATACACTTAACTCTCGATGGCCTACCGCGATCTCTCCGCGTGTAAAATGTCTATCGCATAATTCTGTCGTTACAAATGCGTACAGTATTATATTCCTACTACCTGTATGAGAGTGTGGAACACCGGCCATATCATCAACCGGCGCAAAACAAAACGAATTATTTGTTTCGCTGTCGACACGCGTTCCGTACGCATAATGATATTATTATTAATATATTATTATTGTAACCAGACGACGCATTAGCAAATCAAAAATATACAGCGTATGTGTAAACTGCAGACGGTTTTTTTCAAGGATCCCCCTCCCGCTGTACAGTATCGCGTACATATTAATATTATCAGAACGTTTTACATTATGTGTGATTCACACCAAATCCCGTCGTCGTTGTCGTGTCCGCATTAGCATGACAAAATATTGTAGATACCTAGATGCAGTGTGTATACGATCGAATAGACGTTCTCCCAGCTCGAATATTTTTTATCGTTTCGCCCGTTGTAATTCTCTCTGCTCCTATTATCGAATGAACGTTATAGCGTTGCCCGACAGTATAATGTTATTGTGGAAATCACGGGCGTCCCCCGCTAATCGGGGCATCTCCCCCCCCCCCACCATGGACTTGAAAATTTCAAATATTATTTTATTTTAAGTACTTCTTGGTGTTTGATTTTATTATGCCTATCCGGCCGTCCCTGATAAATTTCCAGTTGGGAGCCTGTGCCTACACGGCCTAGACGAGTACGGAAGATGTGCGCTTACTGAACGAAAACGCAACACACCGCACGAGGATCGTACGCCTATATCTATTTTGTCATGCGCATTAGTAGTCGTACCGTCACACGAATCCGGAATTTCCGGATATGATAATTTAAATATTTTAAATCTCGTGCAATATTATTTTCATTTCTTATTTATTATTATTATTTTTTTTTTTTTTTTTTTAAAAAAAAATTCTGAAATTTAGATAATTGTTTATTATATTATTATTTACTAAATTTGTAATAATAATTTTATATATTATCACAAAAAAAAAGGTGGAGAATCTGGTACATATTGCGTATATTGTGCTTGATTTGTGGGAGGACAAGGGGACTGAGTACTTCAATACATTTTCCGCATACTTTAGCCTATAATACCCCTGTGGTATAGATACTTGCAAGGTTTTTATTGAAAACAAATTTCGGGGGAAGGGGGTCCAGAATTTGTTTAATTTACTATTATTTTTTTTACATTTATACATATTATTACGTTCTGACGTATTATACTGAACAACTTGGCTCCAATTAGGGCTTGGCCCTTGGATACTTATGTAATTTAATTAAAAATGTTAAAAAGTCCAATGAAGAAAGAGTTGTCCCTTTCTCTTAAATCCACCACTGAATGGGGGAGAGGTATACGAATTGTACTATTTTTCTAAGAAACGCGAATTTGTTTTAAATTACAGTAGTACAATTTTTTTTTTCAATTGCCGAGAATAACAAAGTATAGTGTTAAAAAATATGATTAGGTATTTACAAGCATAATAGATACATACTGCGATAAAATCAATAATGCACCTACATAATAACTGCAAAAATTAATTATAAAACAGAACTGCATTTAATATAAAAAATTATAATAATAATAATTTATTACAAACGAATTATTTTACGGCGCATACATTTCGCGTCTACTGATATATCTAACATGAAAATTATCAAAGGGTTTAAAGTCGATAAGTTAAATTCAGTATCTTATATGCCACACCAAAACCGTGTAGAATCGACGACGATATTACGAATTTATGACTTTTGATTGTGGTTTTGATTATTGGTCTTGATATCCGTATATACGGCATATAAAATTATACAGATGGACCATTGTTTGTAAATGGAATTTCAGATTGCGTTATTACTTATTGCTGTTAAAGAATATACCTACCTACTTAACCCTATAATATTATTATGACGTTTAACAAAAATTATCGCAGTTCCTATAATTTATAACATACCTTATCGGTTTTATCGCATTTTGTATAATTTTCCCGTCGCAGTTTACACGTCGTCCTCTAGAAAAAAGGTTAATTTCGTCGCAGTTTACTATCTCCCAGTACGGTATAACGGTAGCTTTCTCCGGAAAACGATTTTTCATTACAAACAGATGTACGTGTGTGCGTGTGTACACTTGGATGACCGTCCGTCCCGTATTACGATTTTTTGTCTCGACGAAAATTATAAGGGACGTATTATGTCTCTTTTTTTTTTTATGTTTTTATGACTTTTTTCAGTAGAATATACTTTACAACGGTGTTTTTGGATTATTGTTTTGAGCATTCCATCACGGTAAACAATAAGCAATGATAACACGTTTAAAAAATAATTCTTGTAATTATGATTTTCACAATATTTTATTAAAAAATAATAAATTATACTCGAAGTTCTTCGCGAAAATAACACAAAACAGCAAACGAAATTATTGTTATTGACCGACCGGCATCATCTAAATAAAATTGTCTTTGTGTACAAATATAATATTTGTATTTAAAAACCTTTATACGGCTAGTGCACATTAATTTTTTTAAATATTCTAAGTGGAGCGAGGAATGTGTTGGTTTTATAGTGATGTTTATTTTTTTTTTATGTGAACACTTTTTCTACCAAAAAGCATACTCAAATTTTCAAGAATAGCACCTTTTCTAAAAGGAAATGTTTTCTGGGTGGTACTTTAAAGAGGTCAATTTTTGAAATTCTCATTAATATTCGAGATAATGAGGAAAGCATGGTTCTTTAGATTAGAAAAGATTGAAAGATTAAAAATAAGGTTGTCGTTGGCAACCGTTTTTATTTATATTTTGTTATTATTAAATTTGTATTATTTTAAATATTTTTTAAACAATTATTGTTAACATGAAAACGCACATTGTTGTAATCATTTTACCATATTATGGCATATATATTGTTGACAAAACAACACTATCAACTGAACTCCGCTCAGAATCGTTTTTCGTTAGCAATGGTTTATCGTTGCTTACAGGTATACATTACATTTCCGTCTGTATCCTATATTTCCAACTTCCCACCTACAACAGTGACTGCACCCACGTATGAAGTATGTCCGTGTTTTTTTTTTTTCAATTTAAATTTCTAGTGTAGGTTTACGGTATTATGCATTATATTATTCACACTTTCTTATTCATTATATTTAATTTGTTTTTAATTTTAAGTGTCCCGTATTTTTATTTTACCCGAGTGCGTGGCAGTTTAAAAACTGTTTTAGGGACGAGGTTTCCTGTTTATTGATTCCGTGGCGTCTTTATCATCACATATCCGCGGCAACTACTGCTGGAAGCATCGAACGTTATATACTTTGCGTTTTGTCGTGAAATTCTGATAATATTGTTACTGTTTTATCGCCGTCGTCCGATAACTAGTTTTAATATACCAAACGGAATATTATGTAACGTAAAGAGTAACTATATGGTTGTGCCGTTATATTTTTTCTCGATCGAATTTTTTTTTTTATGAAAAAAAAAAATTAATTAATATAATCGCATCCTATATACACTGCAGACTCAACATTGCACGCTATACTGTAACGTTTATGATGATCAATGGGAGAAAAAAACCCATCGCAGAGGTTATCGATAATACATAAATATAATTATAATATTATAATTTATGACATATTACTACTTGCCTCCTTTTCTTTACGTAATGGTGTATATATGAAAAAAAAAAAATGTTTTTTATAAAATAGTAGCATAGGACATCAGCATATTATTATACTTATACAATACTTATATTTAATCAATCTGATTTTCGTGATTTTTTATTTTGTTTATATGTGTCTGCCAACAACTTTGCGATTGGAAATTTTGTTTCAATCAAAACTTTCATAGTAATTATATATTGTAGTACTTTTGATAAAGGTGACTTTCTGTCAACGTATGCGTAGCATAATAGCAATTTGGATCAATTTGCTTTAAATCAGTTCGATTTACAATTATTATTATTATTGATAACGAAGTCAGTTGACATGTAGTGCTGTAAACAATCATTCTTGAGACGAAGCCAGTGCTCAAAATGGACCGGAACGCACCGGAACGATGTTCCGGTTGCTTAAAATTGAAATTTTAGAGTTCCGGTTCGTAAAAATATTAAGTTAATAAAGTAGTATTGAAGAAATGTAGACAATTGCCACTGGGTAAAATGTTTTCGATCACAATCAAAGAGACTAAAATAATAAATTATAATTTTTATAATAAATGAAATTTTCTTTTGACAAATTTATAATAATAATAATAATAACAATAATAATAATAAAACTATATCGACAGTGCTTGATGTTCTTAAAATGGCAAATACGACCGTTTCATTGTGTCAAAATAAAACGTTATCGCAAAAACCCAATTCTGAGAAGTCTGTATATTGACTCTGACGTTTCTGTATCTGATAATATTGATTGAAAAAATGTATTGTCTAACACTAAAACTGGTTTAAGAGCAAAAAAAAGAAAAAAAGAAAAGGTATTTTCTATATTATAATTCTATATGTATTAGTCATAAGGCATTATATGAAGGCATTCGAAAGATCAACAATACTAATATAGGTACCTGAGTTAAAATTTTCTGTGTGTTTTTTGTGATTTCTTAATATGTTATTATCTTTAGCATAGCCTAAATCGGGTACACATTAATCATAAATTGTTTTTTTTTTTTTATTATTCTGATACACACTCGTTATAATGGTGTCTTCGATTATTGCACTCTGCCGATCAGGAACTGTGTCGTATTATAACAATAACAATAATAATATACATTTATTTTTAAATACGTAAATGTTAAAAAAAAAAAAACTGAGCGTTTCGAAAGTTCTTCAGTCATCATGGTATCTGTGTAGTTGCGCTTTGTAAATAAATTATCAATCAATAAATTATAAAATATGATCGATCCGTTACATAACTTATATAATGTATAATACTATTTCACCGGACAAAGAACCGTGTTGATTATGAAAGGTTAGGGTTTTTTTTTTGTATAGTGAAAACAGAAATATTATAATATACCTATATGTTCAAACGGCTTTAAAATATTTTAAACCGCTTTTAAGAGCGGCTGCGGCACGGTATCCCGAGTGGACTTGATAACAGATCGGCTCTCGTATCGGTTTTTGTCCGAGGTTTTTTTTTTTTTCTTATGTCAGTGTTACGAATATTTGTCGACAAAAAGTATGCTTTTGTTTGTATTATTATATTCACTTCATACTACTTATAATGTTATTATGTGATGGCGCGGGTAAAATCGAAAAAACTACCATCTAAAAGCACGCGTTACCGCCGTGTTAGATATTTTTAATGCTCGGACCTAGGAAATTACCTAATAATATTATTATATATTTTATGTAAAATTAGAAAAAAATAACCAATTTTTTTTTTTTCTTACAGCTTGAAGAGATCGGCTATAATATACGACTAGTGCGACGAAGGAGAAGACCGATGCAGGCTGAGAACCGCGGGAAGATGAACGTCAATAAGGAACGTTTTGAAACGTATTCGCAAAACGCATCCAATGGGTAAGAGGGTGTATTACCGTGCACAATGTAGATAGTATTTAATATTATATATTTTGAACTAATAAACTGCGCATTTACCGTTTCGAGGTTACTTTTCCCCTCGTGACACAAAATACGTGTGTACCGTGAGTCGTCTCCCATATTGTTATTGTGGTCATTGTTCGTGCATGCTTATTATTTAGGTTACCCCGTAGTGTACAGGGTGATTTTTTCGCGTAAAACATTATGTATCTATCTATATATATATACAATACTCTTGACAATTCAGTGTCGTGTACGGAAATTTTCATTGGGAGGAGATGTAACTATAACAATAATTACAAACAAATTGAAAAACCTTTTTCTCTATCTATTTTAGCTGTATGTCGAGAATTGAAAGGCCAAATCCAAAAAAGTCTATTTTTAATCAAAATAAATACATTTTTTTCTTGTAACTTGGCTAAAATATGTACATTTCAAGATTAAATTACTTGCTCAATAAATACTCATAGTTCTTGTATTTTAAGCTAATGAAGCAGGTGGCAAGGGATATAACCTGACTTCCTGTGCAGGCCACTGCGGAAAGTATTCGTTATTATTTCGAGTTTTCCTTTTAGTGAATTTGAATTATTTATTATAATATTCCAATTCAGAAATATTTTAACAATTTAATTCATTTTTATCGTACATTAATCCTTCATTCAAATACTTTTGAGTTTCAAACGGCAACACAACCGCGTTCATTATTTTCATGAACAAATAACAAATAAAATGTTTATTTAAAACTTGACTTGAATTGTATTGCAGTTTATAGAATTTTCATCGTGGGTCGTTTGTAAATTAAAAGTCGGTACATGTATAGTGTTATATAGTGATAAGTTTTACTCGCAGCGCGCATCTATTAGGGGCGAACAAAACAAAAAAACACCGTGAAATTTAACTGTATAGCGAAGAATTTAATTTAAAAAAAAAAAAAATGATTTTATAATACGATTTCATTTCTCCGCGAAATAACGAGGAAATCAACGAAATCAACGGGGAAATAAATCACCCTGTATATCACCCGCGCACGTTTACACGGTATATATGTACACCGTTATGGGAAATCGGCAGCGGTCATCAGGTGCAGCTGATGATTCCCGTGGTTGTCGATCGCGCGAGAAATTCGCGTACCAGTTGGCAAAAAAGACAAAAAAAAAAAAAAAAAAAAAAAGGGTGAAACGGGAACCGGCAACAATAATATTATATTATTGCACACAATACGTCTTATACGAGACACAATGCGTCCGCGGAATGCGACCTTTTTTTTTTTCACCACTCTTTCGCACAAAGATTTCCTAAGGTGCACCCATATTGCTGATGTTTTTACTACACCGCCCCGGTCCGATATCGCGACACTATTATTATATATTATAAGTATAACGATGAAATGTTCACACGCGTCGTCGTCGTCTTCGTATTTTTATACCATATATAATATTACTATCGTCTTTTCCCGTCCGTCAAAAACGGATCGATACGCGTCATTTTCTACGTCGTCGCCCCGTATTCTGCCGATCATTATTGTGTATATGCGCGCGTTATTTTTGTCGAATAGCGAAAATTCGATTATATTTGACGATATCGCATTCACATTTTGTGTGCGGTTTTCAACGAAACTCCCAGAAATCGTTATCGTTTTATATATATTTATCTATAGATAACATTTAATTTCGATACAGGTTATACATTCTGACGATTCCGCTACACGCAGTGGCGTGAATAAGGGTATGCGGGGAATGCGGTTGCATTAGGATTCTGAATCTAAATAGACCTTACCAGAACGGTCAATAGCGAAAATATTTACGCGTTGACAAAATAAATAATCCGAAATAATACCTATCTTGTTTTAAATTTCATGAGCACCATTCGAATTAATGATCATAGTGAAACCTTACCTTGTTAACGGACACCTATCTATAATGGACAATCTTTCTCAATGCGAGTTATATGATCCGAGCAAAAAGATCCGCGAGTTTAGACCTGTATAATGTACGTGTAATATTTTCTTGATAACATGTATCAAAGTTTAAACTTGCACATAAAGGTCCCTGTACACAATATGATTTGGTAGAGCCAGAAAATCGACAGATTTTCTTAAATGTGAAACAAACCGACACGAATATCGGTTTAAATTGTGTTGATTTTTGACTAAAATACTAACAATATTATAATCTTATAAATTTACAAATATCTGCTCAGAATCGTTTTTCGATTACAATGATTTATAGTTATTAACTAAATATCCTGTACTTGCCTAATTTCTTTCCTACAACAGTGGTGTAAAATACTTCTGGCTTTTTAAAAACTGATGTTATAAATAGTACATCGCTTCTTATCGATCTTTTACAATGTTGGAAATATCTTAATATTATTATAATAACGTATTATGTTTATGCGTTTTATATGTTTTTCCCGTTGTAAAATGTCCTTTTCCACAACACGCCATGGCCGTTTCAATACTATACCTGTACAGAAATAGAAGTATAACAATAAACATCTATACACTTTTAACCTTCGAACATTGGTTTTGAATTTTCACTATTCTTGTTAAGGAAATATTATCCTCGCGCGCGATTTTTTTCTCCTATCTAAAATATTATGTTCTTGGAATTATCCGTCGAATCAATGACTTTGTATAATATAATATCTCGAACAAACGCGAATCGAGATAGAAATGATAGTTAATAATTATATTAATATACGCAAGACTTTGAAACGATGAATAATTTTGCGAAACATCTGAGGACATATGATTATTATTATTATGTTGATCGCCGCAGAGTGTTGGCACAATGCCAATGCAGTCGTTATTATTATATTATGTATTTGGACGGAGAGAAAGAGAGAGAGAGAGAGAGAGAGAGTGAGGAAAAAACACTATATTTTTAATAAGCCCCGAACTGCTGTCTTATGAGTCACCGTTGTCGCGAAAAAAAAATATGGCACACTATTTGTCTGTCGAAGGGTATAATAGTATAATTGGGGATACATCGAAGACAATTTTCTAGAATTCGTTAAAAATGTACGCTATCCGAGCACTGATAATCTGCTGCAGCGGCGTGTAGGCGAATCAGTGTGCATCTCGAATACACGACTATGTTATTTTGGAATAAAGCCATCATTAAATTGTGCAGTGTACGATGCATGTATAGGTTTTTATAATAGGACGTGAAATTCACGTAGGGTCAAAATATACAGTATAATATACGAATCTATTATTATAAAACGGTAATATTTATTGAACAAATTCGAGTCGCGCAATTTGCGGTGGTGTGTCCGGGAATTTTCCACGGGAAGGGACGTAGTAAATAATATTCACGATTCGTGAATAAACCGTAGAATTTTTTTATTTTATACCCACGGCGCCGAAATTGGCAAACGCAGTCCGCTATTATTTTGCCATCATCGATTTTAGCGTAATACCGACCACTTCATTTAACTAACGTCTTTATTTGTGCTGCAGCACGACTGTTTATTATTGTTATTTGGAATTCGGTTAATGCTCCAAATCCGGAGAAAAAATAAATATTACCGAAAAACATTTCGTATTACGTTTATGATGTTTGTATGTCTTTGCGTATAAATTGTCGATTTTCCTAATTTTCGACCGCTTTCCCCGCACCCAAAAGCTAGAGACCAACCTTTAACTACATATTTTTTCATATCTTATTAATATTAATAAATTCACAATAAGAAAATATAGTCTTGTTAATAGAAAAGTTAATTGCATGCATTTTTTTTTTTTTTTTAAACTTCGAAATTAATTTAATTTACTTCATGTGTAAAGGATGCGCGGGTTACTGTAACATTCATCTGATATAGTCTGTTTTCATTTATTTGCTCCTCTCGAGCACTACAAGTTACACCTATTAAACGACAATGAGAATTCAAAAGCCGTATCAAAAAATGCGAATTCCATTCAATAAATGAAGCTTTTGCTGTCTTATTTTGGTTAAAATATGTAATTTCAGGATAAATTTACTAAGGAATACGATGAATTAACTGTCATTGTGCGCAACGAAAATATATCACACACTACAGACGACAAATTAAACGGAATAAAATACACTGATACCTATATAATTATCTATCTATTTATAAAACCTTTAAAAAAAAAAGAAGGCTGGAGGTCGGGTTAATACAATATAATATTATGTAAAATCTAATTGCTTTTTTTTCTCTCGGGTCGTAAAATAGGTACCAACTTAAATTAATTCTATTTGTGATTTCGTTAAATGCGAGCAAACCGCGAGAGATTATGTCCGTTTCGACAAGTTTCCGCGAGTCGTTGAAGTTGTTGATTTTGAAGGCTATGCCACGTATACCTTTTCTTTTTATATATACATATATTTTACCGATTGATTTTCAATAACCAGTATTCGTTTATACATAAAAAAAATACCCTCTATCTATACATCCTAAAATTCTGCGTGACGCGGATTAATTAATTATTACATTTTATTGAATATAGAAAAAAAAAACTTCGTGCAGGAAGTGGACACAAGTCACGTATAATATACCTACTCGTAATATTATTATGTGAAAATGTTGGCCCGCCGACATAAAGAAAAAAAAACATCACGACGAAACTGTACGGTCGTGTTATTTGGCGAGTTATTTACAATTGGTCTATTTTTGGAATTCGCAAATCGCCATATTGAAGTTCTAAACGATTAACTAAGGTAACTTAAAGTCGTTATATTTAACCACAATCGGTCGACGGTTTACAATAATAATATCAGTGGCATCATTGCAGTTTTTGAGAGGAGGGGGCAAAAGATTTGATTGGCCCATAATAAAACTGAAAAATCGCTCGCTAATTCATCTGTTACAATTACATTTTTATCTCGATATAAATATCCTTATTACATCATTTTATACTTACTATCATAGGCATGAATATCCCACTTTTTCGAGGGACAACAATGACTAAATAATAAATATATATGTAGAGATACCTAAATATATTTAGGTATATATTTAGGAAGATTTAACTTGAGGTGAATTTTCCTCTAATTTATATTTTATTTATTCCAATATGTATGGAGCATATATGTATTTACAAAAAAATATAACCATGAAATCATGGACATTAGTATAACCATATAATAAATTAAATAAGAATAGACACTCTCCAAAAATTTACATAGACTTTTATGTGAACCCGGCACTTTCAGTTAAAGTGCAATCGAATCCCGGAAAAAAATTCCCTAAACAAATGTCAAAAGTATATGTATAAAAAAAAAATTGAATATAGTTCAATCATCAATAGTTATAATTTTTTATAATAGAGTGTATATTGTGTCAATACAGCTCATCAAAAATAATAATAATAATAATAAATTATATATAATATCGTATCAATCAATAGTTTGATTGTGTATATTATTAAACACAGCAGCCAAAAAAAAAAAAAAAATTTAAACTAATTTTATGTATTTTCTCAATACCACAATTTATCGCTCTAAACAATTGATTTTAAAATATATAGATAGCTAATGACATTGGGATATTTGGCAATTAAATAAATTATGGTTATGCGGGCTTCCCTCGAGAGAGTAGATAATACAGTTATATTGAACAAATTATTTTTCTGGATGTTTGTTGTTTCATTCGTAATCTATAAACTAAAAATCCATGCGGATGATAATGATTAGATGATAATTTATATATGTAAATAAAATTGAAATATATGCCTGTAAACTTTTTCAATATTATTATTGACAGTATAGTTATTTTGGATTTAGAGATTTTTTTTTTCGGATTATCACGTTAACAAAAATATAATAAAACAAATATTGTATAAAATTATCACACTTATCACACTTATCACAATTATTATCATAAATAATAAATTTTAAAAAAACTGTAGCTCAGAATGGCCGTATGCAACATAAATCATGAATTATGTTTGCAGACTTGTGGCCCAAAACTAACCCATATCCAGCCCAATAGAGACCCGCTGATAACAAGGAGGGGAAGGGGGCAAATGCCTTCTCTGCGTCACCCCAAATGATGCCACTGAATAATATTATCGTGTTGTTCAAAAATGTATGTTTATAAATTTTAAGGTTTACAACTTCGTTTTATACGTAATATTACATTTTCAGAGGTGGATCCGGACCCTTAATTTTAGGGTGGAGCGGCAAAAACGTTTTCCAAAAATAAAATCTTGCATATATTTTACAACAATACAAGAATAAAACATACTGTACTACCGCGGTGTTTAATTGGATGGGTGGAGGCAAATGCAAATCACTATATTGCCCCCCCCCGGCCTCCCTTCTATAGGATCCGTCGCCGTAACATTATACGATTAAACTTCGAAAATGTTCATATTGAAAGCTCAAATTTCGTCGCAGATATTCGTCCGTCAAGTGGACCAATTTAACATAATATACCTCATAAATTCATACGTTTCCAAAACATTCTGAAGCCTCCCGGCGAAATTGTTTTATATAAAACCACAGAAATAGTTTGTACAATATTTAGATGTACGGGTTAAAAATATTACATTATTCACCGTATCCTTTTGTTACAAGTAAAGTAAACGATCTATTTCCGTGTGCCAAAAAGAATGTAATTAATGTATATTCATAAATTATATGTTTTATAAAAATAGACTTTTCCTCAATATGAGGTCGTACGAATATAAGTAATAAAACAAACTTAATATAATAAATAATATTATAACATGATAAGTATTCGGCCGCTGGCGGACTCGTTTATTTGAATACTCACCTATATGCATTTTATGCATTTCAATGGTTCCCAAAATCCTTTTTGGCGACAGTATTTATATAATGTTACAAAGCGGAACAAGACAGAATATAAATTATTCTGTCAAATTTCCACGATAATCTGCGTATTTTTTTTTTGTAATAAACGGTGACGGTTTTTATTATTATCTACGAAGATTTCGAGTAAATTTGATTTTTTTAAAAATAAAATTGTACATTATAAATTACAAATTATAAATACAATTCTTTTGTGTTAGTTATTTCTATAGAATTCGAAAATTGTGTTTAATTTATTAGAGCAGTTAGAGGGGGGATTTTTTTAAAAACCCTCTACCGTTTTTTTGAATCATATGTGCTAAAAGTCTCAAGGTCATCAGTCATCATTTAATGTGTAAAAGTCCGGTTTATACATTTTCTGTTTTTCTCAATTATAATGATAATCGTTTGGAAAATCGGAAAATTACCTCCAAAACGCATTAAATAGATCCAAAATACAATACAAATTTGAAGATAATCATATATAACGGTACTTATGTAAAAATAATAATAATAATACTCGTAATAAGAAATTATTAATTATGCCGGATTTAAATTAAACATTATTTTAATTCCGATTAATGAGAGTCTAAATTTTTATTTTTGAGGGGTAATATCTCCCTACCTATGCACAGTATACACTCTCCTATCTCAGGCACCGAATACATAAAGAATATATAATAATAAACCAATCAAATCTTAAGAGGACGTCGTACCCGCATGTGCTGTTTCCGTCGTACAACCCCACGACATAGCAAATTTTTGTTCTGTGTCAACCACTGTGCTGTTAGTTTTGATATTAAAGTGAATTGACCTTTTATCAAACTTAGCTTTATTAACATTTCCTGTGTCGTCTCGTCGTTTTTTCCGTTATTTTAATTTTTAAGCGAGTTATAAGCATTTTTAAATCATGATATTTCACACTATCATAATATCTCATTTAAAAATTCAAATAGTGAAAAGTAAGACGAGACAACACAGATAATATGTTTATATCTTTGAGTTTCATAATAGGTTAATTCACTCTAATTTTAAGTTTAACAGTACAGAGTTAAGCCTGATGTGCGAAAATTTGATATATCGCGTGGCTGTTCTGACAGGGACACCGTATGTGGGTACCACGACGTCCTCTTAATGGTATCTACTCATATTTGTATACACTTGTACGTCCCACTTCTAATTGTCTTCTAATTCAAGCTCTGATTATCAGACGAACCAGTGGCGATGGCCGTGTTTATTATTGATCAAAATAATTATGTGAAATTACGTTTTAATCATGTGTGGTCTTGTTTTGGTGGAATAAGATGGAAATCCGTTAATTTACGACAATGATGGTGCTGCGACCTCGACCGTGATTGATGAATAACGCCATGTATAACAACAACACCGCCGCGATATCTTTGTAAAGTTCACTTCGGATGGTTCGTTGGGTGTGTTTATATTGTTCGTAAATTCGGTAACCTTTTACCGAAAAAATCTGGATAACCACAAGATAATCACGCGATGACGAATATAAAATTTTACGATTTTTTTCTACTTTTTTTTTGGCCGATAAGCCGCCAGCAGCACCTAGTGCAGGTCCTTGAACCACGGTCGCGGTGATGTTGACGAACTTCGACATATAATATAATACTTAAATTATGTTATATTATTATTATATACGTACGATGCGTTACACAGGCTCTCGGAAATGCGAAAAACTCTATTAAAATATCGAACTTTTCTAAAGGAAATTCATAAAATTCAACATTTTCGACAGGATTTTGCAGTAGCGGCCCGATGAAGGTATATTAGAATCATGTGATTCACAAAAAACCGAGTGGGAGGATCTTGGGTGCCTGGGTGTTCAGAAATATAACGAAATAATTATATTTTTACAAAACAAAGGTCATTAAAAAAAACCCCGAGGACATTTGGTTTTTTCCCGGGTTTGTAGATTTCGGGGTATTTTCGGTAGGGGCAGATAGAAAATTAAATCGGCAGTTCAAGGTGAAAATACTTCGCGTCACCACTGATAATTTGTATTAAATCATCGCTTATTTTATGTTCCTATATATATATATATATGTATCGGATTACAATACGCGCTATTAGTGCCTACGTCATATGTCTATACTTTAATAGTTTAATCGTTCTTTACAAATTATGATATTATTGGATCTTTTAGATATCCAAACAATACATAATATATTAAATGTTGCCGTTATAAACACAATATATTTTTAAACACTCATATAATTGTACTATAAACCGAATCTACTCACAAATTGAGATTTGCACGTTGCGCTTTGTTTCGGATATTCACGTATTTAACGTGACACGCCTGAATTGACGGAATTCATGAGAATTTTATATTTCATATCATTATTTATTATATCGAAACTATAACGAGATCCCTTTTGTGTGTACCGTTTTAGATGGAGACATTTGTATAACAATGAGGCGGGCAGCGACGTCATATTTTTGGTCGGAGACCCCGAGTGCTGGAGATTCCCCGCTCACGTGGACGTATTACGTCAGTACCCTGTATTTGACGCCATGATCCGGGAACCGTGGTCGAAAAAAGGCACCCCAATTCATCTACCGAACGACGACCCAAGAGCGTTCGACAATGTGCTCAGGTGATTATAAAAAAAATATTATAATACTATAGATCAGTTTTGTTTGCAGGACTTGCGTCCAAATTGTCAGTACATAATATAATAAACAGGGAGATTTTTTTTTTGTATCATAATCCAACGTAATTACCTGGGAGGATTTTAAGCGAGTTTGGTTTAAGCAAGGTTATTTTTCAATCATTATTTGGTGTTGCTTAAAATAAGCTCAATTTTCCAATAGTAACCCTATATTAATAAGATTCAGGGGAAAAGATTTATTTTTCTAAAAATGTTAATATTTACAAGATAACACTATTATCGGATATCCCATTTATGAGTCTTAGCTACAATTGAAACATTTAAAATTAATCACGAAGGATTATCGTCAAAAAATATCTATTTTTAGACGATAATCCTTCCCTACTACTCGTGTCTCTATGTATTTTAAACGGTTTATAATTCATAAATGGTAAATTCAATTTCAGAGTTACGATCAAAATTTTTAGGAAATTAATATCTTTTCAAATGGCGAGTTGCTATTTTAAAATCAAAAGTTGATATGTGTTTATAATGTATGAGATAAGGGTACAATTTTGAAAATATTGTCAACAGAATCAAACAAAAGAAAGATTCTACAGTAAAGACCACAAAAAAAAAAAATCAATATAACCCAAAATTTTTGTAGATAATGATGAAAAAGACGGACATACTCGCACATAGGTGCAGTCACTGTTGTAGGTGGGAAGTTACTTATAATATACATTTGAAAGCAACGATAAATCATTTTCAACAAAAAAACGACTCTGAGTGGAATTCAGTTAATAGTGTTGCTTTTCTTTAATAATATTTGTTGAATATTATACCTATTTTCCTGTTTTGGTCCTACATTTTTTCCCAGTTTTTCCAATTTATTTGGAAAACTCCTAGATAAATTAAAAAATGAGCTATTATGGGCCTATAATCATTTTTTCCCTGGTGACACGGATATTTTTTGTTTTTCAATGTTCGTTTACAATAATTTAAATGTTTCACCGTATGGTTAATTAAAATTATAGAATATTTACCTATAATTTTTAACAAACAGTATTTTTAAAATAAAAGGAAAACATCGACGAATTTATGCTATCAATGTCTCGTTAAACAATTTTTTTTTTAACATAATTAAAAATTATGTATCGCAACTGCTAATCTCTTTGAAAATATTGAATACTGAATACCATAATAAGTGTAGAAAAACAGATACGAACAATTTATCGAGATAAAAATAAATGGATTTCAGCTAATAAAAACAAAAAGATAATTTTTTTCGTCAACTTTTAGGAAGTTATAGGAAAATAAAAATGTGAACGGTTCTAAATGTATAAAATAATAGTTCAATAAATTAAAAGGATGTAAATCAGTAGTCGTTATAGCTGTATTAACTTTTAATTTTTGACTAAAAGTAAAGCTATTATACGGTTGTTTTATATTTTCTATTATTGTTGGCAAAACTTTTTTTTTTTTTTGTTTTCTATAGACATTTACAATAATTTTACTCGTTTTATATAAACCTAGTAAAGATTGATAATACGAACAATTTTCGTTTAGATCATAGAATAAAACCAAATACAACGCCACCTCGACCGTATTTCTAATACCCACGACGTTAGCGTAGCGAGTGGTTCTATTTTACAACTAACATCGACAGTGCATATATATAATGTAAAACTTATTATCGATATAGATAGTATAGTTCATTTTATAAACAATAATAGAAATTAATTCTAGGTACCTACGGTTTGTATGGGTTTACATAAACAGGTGAATGATGATTTCATTATTACTTCAAACCGAAACAAAACGATAATGATATGCATAGATATGCGTAGGCCGATAATGTAGGCTGAATTGTTAAAATGTCGACGACACACCGTATAAGTTTTTCCGCTTTCTGAAATCAATTACTGGCGCAGCCGTCGGATCTCTTTGGAGTTAAGAGGACGGTACACGTCCATTAATTGTTGTTTCTGTCTTACAAACGCACGATGTAGTTAAAACATGCTTACGCAGACTATACAGAACTTAAGCTTGATTTTGGTTTTAGAGTAAAAACACCTATAATAAAATCGAAAGAGAACAATATCTCAGAGGTCAAGACGTTGCTTTTTTTTTCCAAATTCTCCGAATATAACGGTCAATTTATCGTTTATAAACAACGACTTTTTTAACGTTTTTTATTTTTTTATTCGCTAAAACTAAAAAAAATAATAACTTTTTCGAAAAAATGCAACGGCTCGCTCTCCGGAGTATTGTTCTCTGTAAATTTCACAATAGGTGCTTTTACTCTAAAACCGAAACTAAGCGTGTAGTCTTCGTAAACACTATTTTACTATACGTATACCTCCCGTTTGTAAGACAGAAACAGCAATAATGCACGCGTAACGTCCTCTCTCAAACCACCGAGTGGAATATAGAATTCGCATCTATGAGTCGACACGGTCCGGTCTAGATATAGGATCTACATGGATCAATATGGATGCATTCATGTACGTCTGAACTCTGGACGTATTATTAAAATCGTAATGTTTTAATATTATATTACGGCGGTAAGCCGAGGTGTATCAAATGTAAAAGAAAAAAAAATAAACCGTGCCAACTTTAAATGGCTACGTTCGTGTAGCGAGATCAAAACGTATAAAATAATGCATTTATATATATTTACTGTACCAGACGGAATTCTTCAAGAAACTCGCATAATATCATAGTGTATTATTGCCGCGCTCATTCAAACGTGTTGCCAAAAATCGTTTATGTGTTATCATACTTAACACTTCCGAAGTATTTTACGCTCGCGCCAGGCGTTATTCAAACCTTATTCGACGCGACGACGTTAGGTGTACGTTATTACTTATGCCATATTATATTGTGCAATTGGCCACTTTGTTTGTTTGTTTTTTTTTTAAATTGTTTTTTTTGATACGATTTAATAATATAATTAAGTCGATTGTTGGTGCGAACGAAGCGCGAGCTGGAGCGGCGGCGGCGGCGGCGTCGGTTTTTTTTTCGTAATTTATGGAACTTGACGACACGACAAGAACGTGAGATTCTTTACAAATACGCTTGCAAGAAAAAAAAAAAAGAAAAAAGTAAAAAATACTTATGCTTTTCACTTTATGCGTTGCATATACGTATCTACGCACCTGTATAACACGTGCACAATATATCGTATGAATAAATTTACCGAAATCCGTTTGCCACTGTGAAGTGCTGCAGCCTATATTTTTGCTAAAAATAAAAAAAACTATCGTCTTGTAACACATAATAATAATAATAATATTATTATTATTATTATACGACTTGCCGATTACATTTATCTGCTATCTATATAGATAATAAAATAATATAATATATGGGTAGGTACGTACCTACCCATACATGTGCGTACCATAGGTAACGTATTGCGAATACTCGGCGATTAATATCGTATCCCAATAAAACGCGTGAAAAAAAAATGCTTGAGCACATATAATATAATGTGTACGAAACGTCGTGGAAACAGATTGGCAGGAGGGGGCGGGGAACAACAATAGTCATCAGTTTTTACTGTTTACTTCATAAAAACGCGATTATTTACTTTCCTGTTCGCGCGTATCCCGTCGAGATAAGAAAATTGTAAATAATACACGTATATAGTATTAACCGACTGTGTACTCTTCGGTCGCGACCGCGCGCCCAGCGTACGGTACAATATTATTGTAGTTAAATATATTATTATTTAAAACTTTTTTTTTTTTCTGCCTCTTAAGTATATAATAATATAGTATAAAAAATAATGATATACCTGCTGCTGTACAAAACGGTTTAACGCACAACGCATTGTCCTCGGATATGCTCTGTAAACGCGTACTCGAACATGACATAATAATAACATAATCAGGTATACCTGTATACGTGTTATAATATTGCCTCAGCGGCGTTTTTGCGGGGGATGGAGGGGGGCAACTAGGGAAATATAACACCCCCGCGGGTGACGGGATCTAATTCATATCACTGTTTATATTATGTTAATTCGAATTTCTTTACTCTATCGGAAAAAATACAAACGCGTAGGCGCCAAGTTAATATCGTCCAAAAACAACCCCCCCCCCCCCCCAAACGTTTACGTTTTCTTGTTTAAAATGAAAAACCCATCTGCGCGAACCGCCAAACACCTAGGAAGAAGGTTAGATTAAATAGTAAATAATCAACAAACCAATCGTAATATACAACTAACTAACATTTAATTATTCGATGACAATTTTGAGGCAAATTAAATTATAAAATATTGACAAAAATTGGCCTTTTTTTTAACTCAGACAGATATTCGCGTTGTACAGTATACGCAGTGGTGTATTAGGGAGTATACAGCGTATACCTGAATCGTATTTGTCGATCATAGCGTATACCTTTTAGAAAAATAGACCATTCGCAAGTATACACCCTGAATACGAGCGTATTATACTGAAAATGATATAACTAAAATATTGATAGTGATAATATATTTGCGTTATTGTTGTGCCCGCAGCTAAAAAAACATTAGTTCGTTTGGACCATAGGAGTTTATGGAAAACAGTATAATGAAATTGTATAATTTGTATCTGTTGGGTATGCATCTAAAGAATAATTAATATGATATTTAGAAACGACTAAAATAATGCGGTTAAAGTAAAAAAAAAATAATGATAAAAGTTCATATTTCGGAATACAGTGTAAAAATGTCAAATATTTTGATATTTAGGGCGAGAAGAATTTTGTTCGTCATAAAGTATCAGTCAATGACGCGTGTACCAAAAAACAATTTACCAATACCGCCACTGAGTATATGACACAGTTTCTAAATCCAATGTCTCCCTCATATGCCTAAATATACGCCACTGATAAAATCAATATACATTCCTCGCTGACCGTTGCACTCAAAATCTAAAACGTCAACTATTTTTTCTCTCCTTAAACAGTATAATTTACCCGTGTGTATCGAAATTCGCGGCGTTCGTACGGTATAATCGAATATCATAGCGGCGAGTGGTTTAATATCATAAACATATTATTACAGAGCGCAAACTATTTATAGAAACAAACGCGAACAATATTTAACCGATAGAAATATGCCTGTTGTACGAAAAACGACCTAGTCACCGCATATGCTGAGAAATTTTGGGCGTCGTTCAAAACCGCACACTTACCGACCAACTGACGTGCGAAAGCCCACACTTTTTTCCACGCGGTTTTCCTTTTGTTCTATAGTTTTATAGTTGGTTTTAGTAGCAAAATGTTTGCGGAATCGAAGTGTTTAAATTTATAACCTTATTTACTGTAATCAAAAGATTTAACAACTTAGGTGTTAAAAAATGAAAATATAAAACAAATTTATTCGGCCGAGGCGTGGTGAATATTTAAAAACGTATTAGTGTATTGTATAATAGGTCTTGATAGTAAATTGTATAATTCGTTGAAGTGGCGAACGCGTTAATATTATGATTTTGATCTTATATTCTAAACAAATAAAGACAGCCCACTCTGCGACCGTGCAATGTTCCCGGTCTCTAAACATATTTTAAACATTCAACATCTCAAAGTACATTTATTTTGGTACCTACTCGTGTATTTGTTTTGCTATGGTTTACACGTTTTTTGGTTTTTCTGTCTGTAAACAACTTTTCTACCAGAAATCTTGCTCCAATCGGAAACTTTTTAGGAACTTTCTTGTATACAGAATCTTTCTCGAGGTCATTGTTTGTTTCTCCGTTCGTAGTTTTCTTTCTAAATGCGAACAACTGGCAATTTTTCGTATAACTTTCATTGATATTCGGGTTGCCTCGGCAACGAGGAAAAAAATACCACTTATATAATATGCCATTATACTCTGTTCAGAATCGGTTTTTGTTAGCGATGATTCGTCAGTGCGTACAGATATAAATGAGATGACTTTATATGTTCTCCCTACCAGATTCCCTCCTAAAACAGTGGCTCACCTATTATCAGTATCAGCTTTTTTTTACATTTAAATGAATAATGATAATATTTTAAAATAACATTAATGTTACGAATAATATATATATATATATATATATACATCTCCTTGTCGACCGAATCAACAAGAGCTGTTTACAACGGAGATATTATAAGGCGGTTCTAAACGTATTTTTTTATTATGTTTCGTACGTCATTGGTATTATACGACGTCATAAAGTATACAAGATAAAAATATAATTCATCGACACGAATATTTAAAATCAATGAATTACAAAAAAATATATTACAAATAATAACAATAATGACGTGAATAGGTACAATGAATTTGATTCAGTGGTAACTAAGTTTATTTATGCGTAGATTTTTTTTTTTTTTTTTTTGTGGACAATTTTTCTAACAGCAATTTTGCTCAGAGGTCATTTTTCGATTATTCCAAGAGTTTTCCCAACAAATGTGAAAAACCAGGAAAAACGGGAAAATCGGTATGATTTTAAACAAATATTATTAAAGAAAATATATAATGCCTATTTAATTATATACTGAATATATAACTGAACTCCGATCAGAATCGTCTTTGGTACGCAATGGTTTATCGTTGCTTACAGATACAAATTAATTTCCCCTCTATATCTTACCTTCCCAACTAACTTCTCACCAACAACAGTGGCTGCATCCATCGCGCGGAGTATGCCCGTCTTTTTTTTTTAACAATTGCGACACTGTAACAATATTCTGAAATCGCTAATTATTTCGGATAATATCGGGGATTCCGGTGTTCTTCGCGATGTACTTGCTGACTCAGCTCGTAGTCATACTTAAATTGAAATCCGATACGAAGCGTATAACTGAAATTCGACGAGTACATTATTATTATGTTATGTAATAAAAAAAAATATAATGGCGATCCACACGTCCGTTCGACTTAATTAATTGTTTTGTTATTTTTATTTTATTGATTTTTGTGCGTTTCGTTATATTATTATTGTTTTTCGAGTTCATCAATTCCCTCGTTAATCGATTTTTTGGCGTTGTGCCACGAAAAAACCGATACGCCGGCGGTCGGGTTACCTCCATAATACAACATAGTGGATTTATCTCGAAACGTACGAATGTCCGTATCCCTTTCTGATCGTACCGCGAGTCAAATAATCGTAAATTGTAATTTTTCGAAAAAAGATTTACCCCCCCCCCCGAAAATGTTTTTTATAACCGGCACGATTCTGAAAATGAACATCGCGAGACCGTTTTTCAAGAATTGTATTGTGTCATCGTACTAACACATTTTTAAGCAATTATTGCTTGGTACAGAATTATAATTGACATCGAAAATTACATTTCCCTCCCCCCGTCCCCCGAATATTACGAAATGTCCAATCAATTTTCTAGTATATAATATGCATTTCGAGATAGACCTCACCATCAGATCTTACGGCCTGTTAAAAAATTAACCCACGTATAATGATTCTATAATAGTATTATACCTTTTTTCTACACGTTTTAAATTGCACTACACAGCGATACAAAATACTAATATTTTTTTTGTAAGCGTAATAATAGGAATGTATTTTTGGTGACTGTTATTGGTAAACAACATTTTGAAATCGTGCTCCAATCGAAAATTTATCAAAGCTCTCTTTTGTTGCATTTTAGAAACAGTTGAGGAAATTTTTGATTTTTTCCGAAAATTGGGGAAAACCGAAAAAAACATATCATTACAAATAGCAGATAATATATTCACGGTATTAACATTTCGTTATTTTTTCGATTTTTGTTTTCTACTAGAAATTTTACTCAAACTTCAAGAGTAAAACCATTTCCGAAACGGAATTTCGTCTATTTGTCTTGAACGCCCTTTTAACAAATCGGTGTTGATTCGATTATGTTTTAAAAGGGCGCCCGGATGTCTTTAATAGTCGACATTACCGACGTAATTTTCTTAATTTAACCAGTCAACGTTCCTGATTTTCCCGATTTTTGTTGACAGCAAAAACGTATTTTTCGATTTCTGGAGCGTATACGACCTTTTAACAAAACACAATCGATATGAATTGTATACAATATTTTATTATTGTTAACCGTTGATAAACGCATTGCAGGTTCATGTACAAAAACACGGTGGAACTCAAATCGGTGGCGACCGCGCTGGAGACGCTCGCGCTTGCCGACAAGTACATGTGCGTGGAACTGGTGCACGAGTGCATCGTTTACCTGACGCGCAACCTGACGGTGGGCACCGTGCTACCGGTGTACCACGCGGCCAGGCTGTACGGCGGCCAGACGGAACAGCGTCACGGCCAACCCGCCGCGCCGCCGCCGCCGCGCGTGCCGGACGTGGCCCGCGCCACCGCGCCGCCGCTGCAGGACCTGATGCCCGTGGCCGTGGACGACGCGCAAACCGAGGCGTTCGCCAGCATGGTCAAGCACTACGACACGCTGCTGGAGTACTGCGGCGCGTTCGTCGACAGAAACGCCGACCGGGTGATGGCCGACGAGAGCGTCGACGAAATGGACGGCGCCGAGCTCGCGGAACTGTTCCGCCGGGACGGTCTGGCCGTGTCCAACGAACTGGTGAGCGCGCGCTTGTTATGCGTTTTCTCCGTCGAGTCCACGCCGTTTTCCACGAGCGTTTACGACCGGGGGTTTACCCCGCCTACCCCCTCCCCCCGCGCCCCCCGAACCCCCGTGACGATTAACGCTCGATAATACGATAAAATATTATACGTTTACTACAGGTACTGTTCACGGCGCTGGAACGGTGGTGCACGCACAAGTGCAGACAGCAGCATTTGGAGCTGACCGTGCGCAACCGGCGGACGGTGCTGGACGACGCGATGCTGCTGTCGGTGCGCTACCTGCAGATGACCGCCAACGAGTTCCTGTCGGGCCCGATGCCCAGCGGCCTGCTGGACGCCCAGGAGACGTCCGTGCTGATGAAGCAAATACTCAACCGGAAACAGCCGAGGTGGACGTGCCAGCGGCTCACCGAGGATGTGCTCGACTACATGGCCAGGCCGCGGAACAAGCACCACCATGCGGGCGGCGGGGCCCTGTCGTACGTCATCAAGCGCAGGTCGTCGTCGTTCCGGGGCGGCGGGGACCAGCACGGCGGCGCCGGCGCCGGCTGCAGTTCCCCGTCGTCCGAGTTCGATTCGCCCGGCAGCCGGGCGTCCGGCAAAAAGTCGAAAAAGAACGGCGGCAAGAAGAACAAGAAGAGATGCGTGGACGGCTGTTTTTGCGGCCATCTCATTTACTTCCTGGACGTGTGCTTCGGATGATTAGCGACCCCTGTGCCCGCCCCGGACCTCCGCAAAACTCACAAAACGTGTGATTATTGTACTCGAACAAAACGTAACGATAATATAATAATCAGAAAAGATCTCACAGAATAGGTTTTACGTTTCCGACATAACGCGATGTGTTATCATTACAACAGTAGTCCCCGTATATTATTATTATAATTAATATTATTACTATTATTATTATAGTGCGCAGACGCAATTAGCCAGCCGGCCTCGAAATTTTGGCCGCCTCGCCGCGGGACGAAACTACGCGGCGCGACGTATTTGTTTTTGCGCGCGCGAAAAGTCCGACGGATCGCGTTTGCGTTCCCGTCGAGCGGCATTTTTTTTTTTGTTCCGTTTCCGTTTCGAGACCGAAAACGCGACCGTAATATCGCTCCGTGTTAATCATTTCGAAAATGCGATTCGATTTTTTTTATTCTCTTTTTCTCTCGCTAAGAGTTCAATTTTCGCCGTTGTGTCGCTTTCCCGGGGTTCGGTAGGTGTGTGTGTGGGGAGGGAGGGGGGGCGTGCACAGGACCGTTATTTCGCGATGTTATTTCTCGAACAGTTTTTCGACGCGGACCCGCGGGCGATCGATCGATTTTCATTAATCTAATAATTCAAAATTCATTGATTTTCATGCAATCGAATCCGCCGCCGGAAAAACAAAAACAATGTAAATAAATTGTACGTCCGTATCCGTGTGTAACGATTTACGCGTCGGCTTTTGCGTACGCGTCTCGATTAAATTATTGTTATTATTATTATTATTATTATATTGTATCATATAGGTAGTACGTAGTCAAATAATATATTATAATAAGATTCGTATTTTTTTTTTTTATCATTATTAATTTATATTTTACGTTACTGACGAATTATTATTAATATTATTTATTTATTATTTTTTTTTTTTTTTGTTCGACGTTTTTAAGTTTTTTTTTCCCCCGATTTTTTTTTTATATTCCGTGTCCACAATCGTATTATTTTATCGGTCGTATTTTTTGTGTTTTTTTTTATTATTATTACCATTTTGTCAAGTAAAATACGTTTCAATTGAATTATATTATACGCACGATCGGATAAAACCATTCCCCCCACCCCTCGCCCGATTATTATCATTAATATTTATAGTATTGTATGTTAAGCCGTCATATTATATTATATTGTTTGGACAATTTTTTTTGTTTTTTTCTCATGCATTCGACATTGTATTCTATAAACTATATTAACTAAATTACGATTATCACCTGTTTGGCCTTATTATTATACGAAAAAAAAAAAAAAAAATTGTTTACCATCCAAATTTTATTGCGTGTAGGGTACTCGACAAATAATTTTACCAAAACAAAATTAAAAATATATTCGTCGATTATTATTATTATTATTATAACATTATATTAACAGTTATTTGTATTATTATTATTATTTTTTTTTTTCGGTCTGTTCGTCGTGTTGATACTTTACAAATAATTATCTATAGTTGATAACATTATTATTGCTATTGCCATTACTATTGTGTTTTGTTGATACGATATTATCATTACGACAACCGCAGTTACCCGTATACATGTAATGTTACTAACAATATTATTTTTATCAATTGTTGTTGTTTAAATTTATTTTTGTCGTCGCGAAGGGTAACGTTTTTGTGTTTTTGTGTTTTTTTTTCCCGCGCACGGTTTATAATTATTATTATTATTATTATTATTATTATTATTATTATTACCTATACGTACAGTATACAGGGCCGGATTCCGGGGTCCGGGGGTCTCTGAGGGTTTTTTTGGGGGGGG